TGAAGCAAGATGGCTGCAGAAGTATAAAAGCAATTGGCAGTGAGGGAAGGAAGGAAGGAGGCAGGGAAGGTGAGCTCAGGGTGTGAGCTGCCTGCCTCAGTAACAAGTCACACACCCACACCGAAGCAATGCTTCTTTCTTAATGCGCCCCTAGCTCTCATGAGTATCCCTCATTGGCTGCCCATGTCTGGACTCCTGCTTTAGGCTTCAAGTTTGGGAGTTCCAGGCAGTAATAACCAGAATTTGAGAACCCAGAGGCCTTAGAGATCCTGAAGAGATGTCTGCTGATTTGAGACCTGAAGACAGTGATGCTCAGAGAGAGTGGGTGTTTGCCCAAGGTTACCAGCGTCCACAGGGGAAGAGGACTGTCGTCTAGGGCATGGGCTGGCCTCTCCCCTCAGCACTGTGATGCCTTCAGATTACCTCCCTTCTCTCCTGGGCCCTCCCAGGCGTCCCCTAATGGGCACAATCCCCAGGAGGCCATTTCTGGGTAGCTGGTGCCGGGCCGGGCAAGGTGTGTGTGTGTGTGTGTGTGTGTGTGTGTGTAACCGTGTAGTCACCCGTGTGGCTCTGCCCCTGCAGTACATGGAGAAGCTGTCCCAGCTGGCGTACCACCCCCTGAAGATGCAGAGCTGTTATGAGAAGATGGAGCCACTGCGGCTTGACGGGCTACAGCAGCGCTTTGACGTGTCCAGCATGTCCGTGTTCAAGCAGCGAGCCCAGATCCACATGAGAGAGGTGTGCCCACCAGCCCGCCCCCCACTAGCTTTCCGTGGCCCCCATCACCACACGAGGGAGGCCCTTCTCCCCTTCCCATGCCTCTGGGCACCTTGCCTCCTGCTCATCTGGCTGGCTCTGGCTACTTGCTAGACCTCCTCAGGATCCGCCCTTTCCTCCCTGGAAGTTGTCCCTTTCCTCCCTGGAAGTTGTCCTTGCAGCCCAGTCCCTTCCTGGGATTTCTCGGGCAGACACCTGCACCTAGACACTCAGCAAGCATACAGCCCACAGACCATCCCCAGCTGTTCCGGGGAGCTTGGGGTGGGCACATTGGCCAATGGTGCAGGAAGGGGCTCTGGTCACCCTGAGAGGGTCTCACAAGCTCTGCCGTATGCCCTGCAGCAAATGGACAATGCTGTGTGTACCTTCGAAACCCTCTTGCACCAAGAGCTGGGGAAGGGGCCCACCAAGGAGGAGCTGTGCAAGTCCATCCAGAGGATTCTGGAGCGGGTACTGAAGGTAAGGCTGACTCCACGGGGCTGGAATCTGACTGTCCAGCCGCCATCCCCAGGCAGCACCTGGTGTTTAGGTGCATGTGCGTGCTCTGGGCTTGGGTTAGACCCTTCCTCCAGCCAGGGGAGCCCCTGACCCAGGGTCCCTCCCGCGTGCCCTTCCCCGCAGAAATACGACTACGACAGCAGTTCTGTGCGTAAGAGGTTCTTCCGGGAGGCGCTGTTGCAGATCACCATTCCCTTCCTGCTCAAAAAACTGGCCCCCACTTGCAAGTCGGTGAGTCCCAGCCCGCCCTAGCCCTTTAGGGTCCGGCCAGAGGGGTAAAGTCTCTGACCCATCTCTACCCGCTTCCCTGGCAGGAGCTGCCACGCTTCCAGGAACTGATCTTTGAGGACTTCGCCAGGTTCATCTTGGTGGAGAACACATACGAAGAGGTGGTGTTGCAGACAGTCATGAAGGACATCCTGCAGGGTGAGCAGGCAGGGCCAGCCCAGGGGAGTGGCACTAGCTAAGGGCACAGAGGGGCCCAAGCCTCCAAGAGGAGGCTGGGTTGGGCTTCTCTGTGCCTGGTTTCCTCTCTGGTTCCTGGCTTTGCCGAGAGTGGCCGGTGAGGGTCATGGTGTCTGCTGGCTTGGGTTCTGGGCTTGAGTTACAGCTTCGCAGTAGGGAGGTCTGGGGTGAGGCAGGGCCCAGGAGGTTTGCTGTGACGGTCCCTGTGCTAAGAGCACTGCCTCTCTTGTGTGGTTTCTCAGCTGTGAAGGAGGCCGCGGTGCAGCGCAAACACAACCTCTACCGGGACAGCATAGTTCTGCACAACAGTGACCCCAACCTACACCTGCTGGCCGAGGGCGCACCCATTGACTGGGGTGAGCAGCATGGTGACAGCGGTGATGGCAGTGACAGTGGTGGCAGCCCCAGCCCTTCGGAAGCAGTCACACTCACAGAAAAGCGCAGGCGTGCCAAGCAGGTGGTGTCTGTGGTCCAGGACGAGGAGTCAGGGCTGCCTTTTGAGGCCGGCTCCGAACCGCCTTCACCTGCATCCCTGGACAGTGTCACTGAGCTCCGAGGCCTGCTGGCCCAGGATCTGCAGCCTGAGAGCCCCCCACCAGCCAGCCCCCTTCTCAATGGGGCCCCTGTCCAGGAGAGCCCCCAGCCCATGGCAGTCCCGGAGGCCTCCTCACCACCAGCCTCACCCCTCGGGCGTCTGCCACCTGGGAAGGCTGTGGACATTGAAAGCCCGAAGCCCAGTGATCAAGAGACCGGGGAGCAGGTGTCCAGCCCTGGTAGCCGTCCCCCCATCCACACCACCACCGAGGACGGCGCAGGAGTGCAGACGGAGTTCTAGGCGTCGCCTCCTGGCTTCTGTTGGACACTGTGCTGGGCCACTTCTCCTTGGGCACTATGGGCTCATCTCAAGCCTGTGCCTTGTGGGGTTGGTGGCTGGGGTGGTGCGGCATCTCCAGGGGTTACCCAAGTCACTTTATAGGGCTCAGTATACTGTTACTGTCCCGCTTTTCTGTGGGCCAGTCTTGGACGCTAGGTCTGATCTTGAGGGCTTCCTCTTTATGCAAGAGGCCGCTGAACCTGTCCTTCATGTCATCCGTTTCCCTCGTGGCTGTTCTGGTCATCTTTGGATGGAGGTGGGTGAAAGCATTGGGGCTGTTGCTCAAGTCTAGGAAGCCGGTAAGCTCTGACATCTCACTCTGGGGTTCCTTGGCACCAAGGTGGCGAGGAAGAGGAGGGGGCCACTCTCTGTCCTATCCCCCTCTGCAGGCCCAACACTAGACAGACTTTGGGTGTCACTGGCCTCTCTTTGCTGGCTACTGCTGTGGGAGGGCGGGGCTCGGGATCTTATGGGGAGTGGTGCAAGCGATCTGTGATGGGATCTTAGAGAAAGGCCCAGAATGTGGTAGTTTGTGCAGGGGAAGTGTCCTGGGGGTGGGGGAGGGGCTGGGAGCTTGGGAGTGTCCGGTTGAGGCCAGGATGGCAAAGTGAAGGTAGCTGGAAGCTGGGGCGTCTTGGGTGCACGTGGCTTCCGTGCATCTGCCTGGCGCCCCACCCCACTTTGGACTCACACTGCTCATTGGCAGAGCTTGGGTGTGGACTGTCACTCCCCAGCTCTTCCGAGTCCCGCTCTAACCCCGACGATCCCAAACCCCTCTTCCAGTGTCCCTGTGAGCCATTTGGGTTTGTCTTCTCTTAATCACGAGGGTCACAGCAAGGGAGGGTGACTCCGATACATGACCCTCACCTTGGGCCTCCCCAGACTTACACTGGGGTTGAGGAGACCAAGGAGGCGGCCTCTTCAAGGCCCCCAGAAGGTCTCTCAGCCATGTTCTTTGTCCAATGGACTCGTTCTCCGAGTATGGGCCTAAGGCCCATAGGATGTGGCTGGGGTGCAGGGACCCAGTCCCCCAGCCCTACTCAAATCATGTCACTGATTTCTTCTGATGCTCTCTAGTGCCTTGGGGTTTCCATCGCCCTTCCAGATAAGGTATGAAGAATCTATGCAAACTGTAAGCTTCCGCTCATGAATAAATGCTTTATTTAAAGCTCATCGTATGTCCTGCTGGGCTCCAGGAGGCCTAGGCCTAGGGTCTCTGGGACTCATTCACCTCAGCTTTCTTGAACTCATCATATGTCATCATATGAGCTACCAGGTCCATGTGTGTGTGTGCAGGTGTGAACTCACATGTGCATGGGGAAGCTGAGGAATCTTAGATGTCACTCCACCTTGTGTTTTGAGACAAGGTCTCTCATTAGCCTGGAACTCACCGATTATGATAGCCTGGCTGTCTGGTGAGCCCTGGGATCTGCCCGCCGCGGCTTCCTTGGTACTGTGATTACATGCATTTACCAACATGCCTGGTCTTTCATGCGAGTGCAGGAATCCAAACTTCGAAATGCTGACCACATTTCTGAGCTCTCTCTCGCTCTCTCTTTTTTTTTTTTTTGATTTTTACGAGACAGGGTTTCTCTGTATTGTTTTGGAGGCTGTCGGTCCAGCCCAGCCTCGAACTTACAGAGATCCGCCTGCCTCTGCCTCCCGAGTGCTGGGATTAAAGGCGTGCGCCACCAACGCCCGGCCTCTTTCCTTTTTTTTAAAGGCTGGGTTTCTCTGTAGCCCTGGCTATCCTGGCACTCACTCTGTAGACCAGGCAGGTTTTGAACTTAGAGATCTGCCCGTCTCTGCTGGGATTAAAGACGTGCGCCACCCTGACTCTAACCCGTTCTTATAATGCCCTATTTTAGAGGGAGAAACTGAGGCTCATAGAGAAGGGAGAGGCCACGGAACTTTCAGGTGACTGGGATCAGTTCCAGAGTGCCTTCCATGAAGGTGGGCTCCAGCCTGCACTGGGTGCCAATGGCCATGCTAGTTCGAGAGCCCATCAAGTGGTATTTGTTGAGTAGATGCTATAAGCCATATATATATATATTGGGAAGGGCAGAATGGACCGCCCCCATCAGTACAGCTGGTGGGGGTGGACTGCCCTGCTCAGGGTTAATATGTCTTTTTGAGTTGCCTTGGCATCCTCTTACCTAGGGTAATCACTGCAGGGAATACAACCCACTCAGGAGCACAAGCTGCTTATATAGTGAGGCTACCCCTGGCTCTGCTACCCTTGCCCTTTGCTGACGAGGGTTATATCTCTGCCGCCTTCCCTTTGGCTCAGGTGCCTCAGCTCCGGCTCCTTTCCCCAGAGGAGCTGCCTTCTCCCAGGACCCAGCCCACCCCATCCCTCCCAGGTCCCCAAGGACCCACGGGTCAGTCAGGGAGGAGCTCAGATTTATTAGTGTTCCTGCGCTGACTCAGCCTGCCTGTGTGGGCTGCAGATACGGGAGGGCAGGTATTGAGAAAGCAGCAGAGGAGGCTGGGAGTGGTCCTGCGCAGCCCACCCCTTCCCAGGGCATCGCCCCACCTCAGGCCGCCACAGCAGGGTGTGGTGCTAAGGCTTGCCTAGTGACGTGGATTCCCGAGTCCTGCTGGTGGCACGGCCACCTCCCTATGCCACGAAGTTCATCACCAGCAGATATGCCCCGTTTCCTGTTCCCTGTCCAGAACAGCTACTAAATCACAGACCAGGAACACCCGACCTGCCTGCCTGGAGCTCGAGGCGCTGGGGTTGGCAGGTGGCGGCAGAAGGCCATGGCAGTCTCGCCCTAGTCTGGGGAGCGTGGGTGCGTGGGAGCCCAGCAGTGGAGATGGTGCCGAGCAATGGCTGGTGCGCGGCTGCGCGTTCAGCTGCTGTGGTAGATCCGCAGGCGCTGGGAGATCTCCTGGCGGCACAGCGGGCAGGTGCGCAGTGGCTGGCAACACTGCTGGCAGCAGCAGACATGGCCACAGGCGAGGAAGACCATCTGGGCCTGGGAGAGAGCAGCATTAGCACCCGGCTAACGACCACGGCCCAGCCCTAGGAGCACAGCCGTGTGTGTGAAAGCCTAGTGAGGCCTGTTGGCCGTTTCGTGCCTGTTTCACTATGGACTGCAAGAGCATGTAAATATCTACAACAACAGCCTTTCCTCCACTGCAAGCTAGGCCAAATGCACTACTACCAAACGGCCTCCTCTTCCCAAGTGCTGTGAACTAGGCGCGTGCCATCCACCACCTGACTCCCAGTCTGTTTGTAATTATTCTGTGTGTGTGTGTGTGTGTGTGTGTGTGTGTGTGTATACACCTGCCAAATTCTGAACCTTGTGGGTCACTAGCCTTGTATGTGTAACTGGACTCTGCTTAAGCATGACCCCATGGCCTCCAACTCTTCAAACTCATTTAGCATAGCAAGAAACTGGGATTCATGTCCAGAGCCTGAGGACGGGGCCTTGGTTAGAGTCCTAATGCCCTTGCCCTCCACCACACAGCACACCCGAGTTTCCCGAAAGTCAGAGAGATGCCCAGCTGACACGTGTGTATAGCTACTCATGGAGGGCAGAAGAGGGTGTTAGGTCTCCTAGAGCTGTGAGTCACCTATCATGAGTGCAGGGATCCAAACCTGGGTCCTCTGGAAGAGCAAGTGTGAGTCGTCTCTCTAGCCCTGTTTTGGGTTTCCTGAGACAAAGCTCGCAGACCTGTGGGGACCCTGGGTCCCCGCCTCTCACAAGCTGGGGTCACAGGCATGCACCTCCATGGCAGAGCCCCGCCTCTCACAAGCTGGGGTCACAGGCATGCACCTCCATGGCAGAGCCCCACCTCTCACAAGCTGGGGTCACAGGCATGTACCAACATGGCAGCGCCCTGCCTCTCACAAGCTGGGGTCACAGGCATGCACCTCCATGCCGGCGCCTGGTTACTTTCCTAAGTCTGACCCCTCTCGCGGTGGATGAGGGAGACCTGTGCTTTAAGCACTGGCGTGTTTACTTTTTTCAGTAAGTGTTAATTTTGCAACAATTTTAAAAAGACTTGGCAAGGAAAACCATGTCCTTGGTGAGTCATGATGGGGGAAATTTTCCCTGATATAGTTACTAAGCTGAGGGAAAGCTCCTTCTTCTGGGGGGTGGGAAACGACCTCTAAAAACTGAGGTTAGCATGGCTCATATCTGGGTCATAGAACATGGGTCATTTGTGACCTGTGGCATCTCCGTAGACTCACCTCACGTTCCAGGCACACAACACACTCTGCAGTTGGCATGTCCAGTTCCGCTGGGGGAGCAGAGGGTCTCACCGACTCGGGAGGCTCCCGAGGGGCAGCAGGGGTCTCCAGGACACCAAGGACCTCATCCTTGGCTGGTTTCAACTCTGAGGAAATCAGAGGGATAGGCTGAGCCAGGGAGCCATTCTAGTCCCTAGGAGATCTCCTGGCTTGTGTGCACCCCAAGGTGAGTGATCTGAGGGGCAAAAGGGGGTGCCTACAGTCCAAGAGCAGGGAAAGGCTTTTCCTTCTTGAGTCTTATTCATTCCCATGGCTCCATCTGTGAGATGGGAGTCGATTCTCTGCCCAGCTCACTCTGTGAACCTTCAGGGCTCAGAAACTTGAGTCTCAGAGAGAGAGGAAGGACATCACTTGCCTGGGGCCACATTGGCATCTAGTGGTGGAGCTGCAGGATAGGCGCCCTTGGCTAGTGGCTGAACCTCTACCAGGTTCCCCAGGAACCAGAATGAGTCCATGCCACCGGTGAGGGCAGAAAGGGATCACTGCCTCCCTATTCCCCAGCCCTCTCCCAGGCAAAGCCCCTTCTGTGCCCAGAGCTCTGCACGGTCCACATACACCTGGGCCTCTCAACAGCCCTGCAAAGAACCCAGGGTCAGCACCTGGTTTGATCCTGGCCACATCCAGAAGGTTCCGGGCTCTCTGTAGGATCTCATGTTGCAGGCCTGCTTCTGAGACGCCCACCTGTGGCAGAACAGGAAAGAGCAGACCCAGAACTGAGGGCAGGTCTGAGCTAGAGCCAGCCCTCCTACTGTAAGCTACACACAGTGTCCGAGCCCACAGGACTGCCTCACCCTTCACCTCAGGCGCCTTCAATGCAAACGGGGCCCCTGGGCCTTGGGGTAAGCCTAAGGTTCACCACAGCTGTGCAAGGGGCTGGCTCAGGCCTGGGTGCAGTAATCACTGTGGCAGAGGAAATCTGTAACATGTGATTTTTACCGAGTGGCTCAGGGGACAGGGACTGCCCAGTGTCACCCTGACCCCCACTGCCACTGTACATGGGGAACTGAGGACAGAGGGCTATTGAATCAATGCTGCTGAGAACCAGTAATGCCTGACCCGGGCAGCCCCACACCCAGAGCCCCAGCACATGGCCCTGCGGTGTCACAGAGTCCTTCTGCACCTGTCCTAGGTGAGGCAGGGCGGCAGAGGACCAGACCACTCACGGGCAAGTTCCAGGATCGTGGTTGGTGTATGAGACACCAGAGCGGGCCCCAGGGAGGGGCTGGCGAGCATCGGTGCTACTTTACTTTGGAGAGAAGTGAGGTCAGGAGGTGCTATAGCTATGGATGTGACACCGGGCACAGGCTGAGGCTGGCTTACAACCTCCCAAGCACTGAGCTGGCCCTACAGGTGAAGACCCAAACTTCAGGGCCCACACTCCTCGCTCTCCTAGCTGGAAGACAGGCAGAGGGGCAGCGGTTCCGGCACGAGATGCAGGGGGACCCAGAGCCCTCTGATCTGGACAGATCTTGCCTCACCAAAACTGAACAAATTATACACCAACTGTTGGCCAGACTAGGTCGAGGCCTGGTCAGCCTTTCTGACTTCCCACCTTAGCCAGGTCTCCAGGGCTCATTCGGCTCAGCATGGCCAAGGAGATGCGGTGGTGGGCGAAGATGGGCAGGTAGTGCTCGGCAGACAGCTCCGCCAGCAGGGCCACCAGCTGGCGCTCCATGCCTTCTTCCTGCAGGACCGCCCCGTGGGGAAGGCAAGGGTGTCAGAGCGGAAGGGAGAGAAGACCCCACTGGTCACAAGATGGGACAGATAGAGTGTCCTTGGGCTTTTCCCCCAGAGGAAGATGTGTAAAAGTGCAGAGATTCACCCACAAGGCAGTTCACCGCTGATCTACACCTGGAATAGTAAGCCATTTAAACATCTACCAGGAGGGAGCTGGCTAAAGAAGCCAGGCCACACACCGGGCACTGTTCAGGCTCCTGAGAACAAGGTGGGTGTCAGCATGAATGGGAGCCTGTCCACTAGTATGTATGAGAGAGAATGGTGTGAATGGGGCTCAGTGACTGAGAGCTCACTGCTCTTGCAGAGGAACCAGGTTTGATTCCCAGCACCCACATCAGGCAGCTCACAGCCACCTGTAACCTCAGCTCCAGGGGTCCGACCCCCTCTGGCCTCCAGGGGCACCTGCACGCACATGGTGTACATAAACTTTCACAGGTACGCATGCATACACACAAATAAAAAAACAAATCTAGGCTGGGTTTGTTGGCGCACGCCTTTAATCCCAGCACTTGGGAGGCAGAGGCAGGTGGATCTCTGTGAGTTCGAGGCCAGCCTGGTCTACATGGCAAGTTCTAGGATAGCCAGTGATACACAGTGACACCCTGCCTCAAAACAAAACAAAACACACACACACACACACACCAACACCCTCCCCCCAAACTAAACATTTTTTAAAAAACTATGTGTTAGGCCAGGTGTGGTAGTACACACCCTTAATTCCAGCACTCAGGGAGGCAGAGGCAGGAAGATCTCTGTGAGTTCCAGGTCAACAAGGGCTACATAGGGAGACCTTGTCTCAAAATCAAAACTGTGTGCGCACAGGAAGGGAGACCACATCTGCCCTGCCCACAGCTCACAGGTTATCGTGACTACAATGACCAATGTCTTTCTTCCTCTCTCATCAGAACAATGAGAGCTCCCTTGCAGGGAGCTGGCGTGATGGAGTCCCCAGGGCAGTGGTCCCCGGTGGGGCCGGGCTGAGGCACCTCTGGAAAGAGCCCTCTAGCTCCTGGGCCAGATGAGCACCAAGGCCCTTACCTGCAGCTTCAAGGACAAAGGCTTCTGGTTCAAAAGCCGTTGGTACTGAATAAGCCAGTAATTTTCCTGCTTGGTTTCACTCTTGGCTTCTAATTCCACCTGCCAAGAACAGAAGTCAGCACCATTAGCTTCCAGCCAGGAAACAGAGACTATGGAACTGTGATGTCTCCAACACCCTGAGTGTGCATGGCTTCCCCAGCCAGCCATCCCTGCTTTAAGACACAGGGCAAAGACAGGAGGCACAGCTGTGCCAACAGCTGCAGGGAATGAGCGTGGGAAGGCAAGGGGAGCCCTGCTCCTGGCCTCCTGCACTGGGTCCCACACTCGGCTGCTGGCTCTGAGAGGGACACCTTTTGGTCTGTTTGTGGGACAGCAAAGTCTTGTGCAGCCATCTCTGTCCCCAAGAGCAGAGGTGCCAGGCTGGGAGCTACAGGTCTTCAGGAGAAGGGCCGTATTACAGGACAGGGCTGACACCAATGGCAGTGACATCTTTACTCTGCCACCTGGGAAATGTTTGGAAAGGGGTTGTTCTGGGTGGGCGCTATCCCACAGCCACACTTTGTCTCCGTGACAAAGTCTATTCCCATGTGGTCCAGGGTGACAGCAAGATCTGGACAGGTCTGTCTAGACCCTGCGCTCTGGACAAATGCTGCACAGGTGTCTCTCAGCTGCTCCACAGGCATCTGACTGCCCTTGGTGGCCCCTCCTCAGAGGGCCAAGAACTCCATTTTCTCTATTAAATTTGTATACAGCATATGTTTGTATGCCCACAGGCCAGAAGAGGGCACCAGATCTCATTACAGATGGTTGAGAGCCACCATGTGGTTGCTGGGAATTGAACTCAGGACCTCTGGAAGAGCAGGCAGTGCTCTTAACCTCTGAGCCATCTCTCCAGCCCTTCTCTATTAAATTTGTATATCACATTAATGTATTGTGCCTGCACCTACACACACACCTACACACACACACACACAACACACGCACACACACACGCACACACGCACGCACACACGCACACACACACGCACACACACGCACACACGCACACACGCACACACACGCACACACAGTGCGCGCAGGCGCACACACACGCACACACGCACACACACGCGCGTGCGCAGGCGCACACACGCACACGCACGCACACACACGTGCGCGCAGGCGCACACACACGCACACACACGCACACACACACGCGCATGCGCACGCACAGGTCAGCAGACAACTTGTGGGAGTTGGTTCTCTCCTTCCACCATGTGAGTCCTCGGTTAGAACTCAGACATCAGGCTTGGCGACAAGTGCTGACCCCTGCTGAGCATCTCACTGCTTTTCTCTGTGCTGTACGCTTTTGCAATAGGGTCTTGTTATGTCCCAGGCTGGGACATATGGAACTCATGCCTTTCCTCCACTCTGCAGCACTATGCCAGGCAGTGTTCCCTTTGTGTCCGTGGTCCTGACCGTCTGTTATCATCTAGTACTCCCTCCCTAAGACGTGTGGCCCCTGGGCCTGCTGAGGTTAGGGACACGGCTCACACACTAGTGGGGCATCCTGGGGAACGGGTCACTTCAGATGGGTCTCACTCTTCTCAACTGGTCTAGGATGGACATTTGGGACATTCACACGGTTCCAACTTTTCCGTCTGGCTGGTGGGCCTAGCCTTGGTCCTCAGTGTGTAGGAACCAAATTGCCTGAAGTGATGTAGGGAGAGATTTTACGTATCTGTGGCGCTGACCACTCCCGTGTGGGTGTGCTCACAGGTACGTAGAACGTACGGGGCGATAAATAGAGCTCGGGGGAGGAGACTCTCTCTCTTTGGGTTTTGGTTTTGACCTGGAGAGCAGCGTGTGGACCTTTGGTTCTTGGCTTTTCAAGTAAGTGATTTCTCTATTTTATGTAGTTTAATATTTCCGAATTAAAGTGATGTCTGTAAGCGGGGCTCATCCAATCTGATACAAGCTAGAGTAAATGGCAGCAGGTCGCATGGAAGGACCGGCCGCTCCTGCTGAAAGTAGTGGTCTTCTGTCAGCAGGGCGAGTCCTGTCCTGGAGAGAATGCTCAGCCCTGCCCTCACTCTTGAGGACACGGGGAGCGCTATGCACAGACTTAGAAACTGGCTGTGCGTCCATTCCACTCTGCTCTAGCTCTGGGCGAGCGCGACGGCAGTCTCTAGCTGTGCCACTGATTCCCCACAGGGAAGGCCTGTACCCTGGGTTGTGACAGAAAATAAACTCCCTAGGAGAACTCACAAGGACCTCTAAGCTGCCCAGTGACACTGCTCTCTGGTACCTTAAGTTCCCCTTCGATGAGCGAGCACCTACTACTGGAACAACAAGTGTTTAGAAAGCACAGCTAGCACGCCCGAGGGACAGGCTCGGGAGGCCTGAGAGCATACCAGGATGTCATGGAGTTCTTCTTCTCGCTGCTTCTTTTCCTTGAGTAGTTGCTGGAGCAGGTTGCTGAGTGCCCGGCGCTGCTCTGAGACCATCTCCTGCAACACAGGATCAGACCTGAGGCCGCTGTGGGTCCCTGCGGTGGCCCCCACAATACAGCTAGGCATGGCCTGCGAGCCCCACTAACGGAACTCAGGGCTCTGACTCCTGCCTCTAGGACGAGCTGAAGGACAGAGCCCAGAGGCACCTCAATCCTTGCATGCCACCCACTTCCCCCCAAGTCCTCAACTCCCCTCTTTGTGGGCTTCAGGCCAGGCATGGGACCCTTGTGATGATGGCAATGGAGGGTGAGAAACGCCAAACAAAAGAAACGACAAGCCGTGGGCCTTGCTGACCACGGCACGGGGGTGGAGGGAGGAAAATGGCAGGAAGGGCTGATATGGAGCCTGAACTATGAGAAGAGAACACCGCATTTGGATAAAGAGGGGGGGCTCCATATCAGACGGGGCTGCCCCACAGGGAGACACATGCCACAGCTTATCTTCTCGTTCTTAGAAACCCCATGGAGGTCCCAACAGTGAGTGTCCTGTGACTCAAATGGGCACAGACAAACAGTTTCTCTGTGCAGCCCAGTTCCTCATCTGAGAAAACCATCAGAGGCTCACCAAGAACCTGTCTGATGGGCTGATGACACAGGCTAGCCATGAACGATGGCGTCTACCTTAGAGAGGGCTGAAAGAGGGACCCAGTGGGACAATGACATGTCTCAGGCCACCTAGCAATCTCGGTGGTTCTCTCAGTACTGGAAGGTTGTGGGTCAACTTAGCCTCTTCTCCTGGCACAGACAGTGACAGTGACAGATGGAAACTGAGGCCTGGCATGGACATGCGTCCTCATGCTGTCCTACCCTGTCCCCGTGTGTGCCTGGGGGGACTGAGGTCCAGGGAAGGGCAGGGCACCCCTTTTCTCCAGTGCCGAGGCTGTATGGCCAGGCTGTGTGAGAGCCACAGCCAGGTCCCAGTGTCCAGTCCAGACTTCCATGTGCCAATCCGTGCTGCCCTCTGGTCTGTGAGCGGGACAACCAGGCCAGAGCCACAGCCAGCTTCCGCTCACATGCTCCTGGGACACCACAACTCCCCCAACAGGGAATGAGCCCAGAATGACCTGAAGCCCGCCTGACAACACAGCCACCAGCCCGGAGAAGGGAACGCGGAGATGGGGATGGTGTCCCTGAGGCCTGGCAATGAAGCCCTCCTTCCTCTGACCCTCCTGCCCAGCACAAAGCTACCTTTGATCTTGGACCACGTTGTCTATTGGGGCTGGACCTGTCCTGTCTTCTGGGGAAGCCCATGCCTGGGCCTGAGGAGCAGCTGCTCCGAGGTCGGGCGCTGGGTAACGGTTGTTGTCTGGCTGGGAGCCTCACATACCTGAAGCGTCTCTGTGTCCAGGGACTTCCTCTTTAACTCCAGCTGTGTCAGCTGCAGTAACTCAGTTTCTATTAGCCTAATCTAAACAGAAGACGAGACAGGGCGTTGATTCACAATCACCACGGTTCCCTTATGTACTGCTGCATGGCCAACATGGACTCAGAAACCTTTGTCAGGAGGCTGGGTTACCCTGCACAAAGTGGGACTTGCGGGCTTTGGGACCTCACAAGGGAGTGGAAACAAGCTGCCCTGCATGGCTCCGCATGGCCTGGAACATGGACATACATGCTTTGGTCAACACCACTGACCAGGGACCCAGCTGCATTATTTCACCCAGAGTCTAGCCGCTGGGGTGTATGACTGCCTTCATTACCAGGAAACTGACACAGAGCAGGTAAAGTGAGAGAACGTTTACTAGGGATATCCCAGCTCGGGGTCTGGAGTAGAATAGGGTCATTAAGAAACCAGCGACTTCTCTAACCCCTGCCGGTCAACGACCCTATGGCCTCTTCCAACCTGAGTCCCTGACCCCACAGCCCCTGGTCAGAGGAATGAGCTTCATGTCTGGCAATGTGGGATTGAAATTAAGGAGGGAGATTAAAAAAAAGTTAGTTTAGGTCAAACAAGAAAAGAAAGGAAAAGAAAGGAAAAGGACCATGCAAAAATGAGAGATTGAGTGTGTGAACACGAAGCGATGTGTGTTCCCATAGCCTGACAGCTGGCAGCGCCTCTGGCCCCAGCCCCACAAGGCCCAGCAGGGGTCCTACCCAAGGCCAATGCACGGGTTAGTAGTGGAGACTGATGGAGGGTGGTCTCCTACCAGACCAGGGTTCTTCCTCAGTAGATCTCAGGCCCTGGCTGCCCACTCAAGAGGGAAGCCATTGCTGAGTCACTTTAAGCCGAGGGGAGCACTGAGGGTGAGCTGGCCAGTTTCCCGAGGAGCCATAATTAGGGTTGCCCTTCCCCCAGCCCATGTGTCATGGAAACACACACTGTATTTGCCCGGCAGACTCTGGCCAGGCTCTGGGATAAGACCGTCTCCAGTGCTGTTCAAGGCTCAAGCCAAGGTCTCCTAAGTAGAGTCTATGTGAGCTGTCAGCCATGACACTCAGTGACCGCTGCCCTGGCGAGCCAGGTCTCCACGTGGGAGCAGGGCTGGTGGCCCGGCCACACTCACCTGGTTCCTGATCTGCCGGTGTGCCAGGTCTCGCTTCACCTGGAGAGCCTCGAACGCAGCCCTCTGGATCATACTCTGCAAGAGACCACACAGACCACTCCCTGAGGCTGCACTCCCTGAGGCTGCACTCCCTGGCTCTTCCAAGAGCTACACCAGCCACAGGGAGCAACACCCGACTAAAAACACCTTGAAGTGTGATTTCATGCTTCTGGGGAGACAGAAAAATAGCTCTCTTCTCTTTTTCCTTTTGATGCAGGGTCTATATAACTGAAATTGGTTTTGAATCCTGCCTCAGTCGTCTTGACTCAGCCCCCTGAGTGGTGGAATTGCAAGCATGTATTATCACACCTAGATAGAGAAGTAACTTTTTTTATTTTTCGAGACAGGGTTTCTCTGTGTGGCCCTGGCAGTCCTAGAACTCACTCTGTAGCCCAGGTTAGCCTTGAACTTAGAGATCCACCTACCTCTTTGTCCTGAGTGCTGGGATTAAAGGAGTGCACCACACTGCCCATCTGAGAAGTAACTTTTTTGGGGGGGGGGGTTGAGACAGGGTTTCTCTGTGGCTTTGGAGCCTGTCCTGGAACTCGCTCTGTAGACCAGGCTGGTCTCCAACTCACAGAGATTCACCTGCCTCTGCCTCCCGAGTGCTGGGATTTGCGACACCAATGCCAGGCTGAGAAGTAACTTTTTATCTTATTCATTAAAAAAAAAAAAAGATGGAAAAGATGGTACTACTAAAGGTTCTGGGGTCAAAGGGCGTGGCAGTCAGAGGACCGCTTGTGAGGTTGGCTCTCCATGTCCCACACCATGCACTCAATTTCCTTCTCTCTCTCTTTTCTGTTTTATTTACTTGTTTTAATTTTTGAGACAGGGCCTCTCTATGTCTCCCTGACTGTCCTGGAACTCACTATGTATGTACACCAGGACCCAAACTCAGAGATCTGACTGTCTCTGCCTCCCCGGTGGGATTAAAGGGGTGCACCAGTACACCCAGACTCTTTTCATTATTTTTGGGGTAAGGTGGTATCATGCACCCCAGGCTGGTCTGAAACTCCCTATGTAGCTAGGGCGACCTTGAACTTCTGATCCTCCTATATTCACCTCACACATGACAGGATGACAGATGTACACCGCCACCCGGTTTCCAGAAGTGCTGGGATGCAACCTTTGTCTTTGGACACGCTGGGGAATCTCTACCCACTGAGCCACACATCCACCCCAAACACTGCATTCCTACAACAGACGATGGCATGCCTGCTTCTGTTGTCCATTTCACAGATGAGGCCCTGCTCGTGACGGGGCCAGGTCTACCCAGATCCCCAGCCTTTCTTTAACCAGGGGCAGGTGCCCTCCCCGAGGAACAGGGTTCCCAGCAGACAAGTCCCACAGACGTAAATCACAGAGTTAGGAGGGGGGGAGGGCACGATGGATGAGCACAGCCCGGACGATACAAATACAAGCTCAGAGAAGAATCAGGAGCCGCTCCAGGGAAAAGGCTAACGGATCACAGCGGGGCCTTCTTCATCCATTTCAGGCTCTGCCTGGCATCTTCTGAGCCTCAGATAAAGGCAGTGGGTCAGAGCAACAGTGTGCACGCAGAAGCAGAGACAGAGGCCCTGCCCCAGCTCCCTGAGCAGAACCAGTCACCTCTGGGCACGAAGTCCTTAGGCTGAGCTCCCTGTCAGGGTGGGATGAGTGTCCCCAGGGAGGGGGAAGGGACAGAGGGCTACGCCTGGAGGCTCAGGCTCCCGTGTCTCCAAGGTCCCTGGGTCCTACAGGAGGCTGTGTCAGGCTCCGGGCAGGGGCTCACCTCCTGAAGGATGTGGCTGATGGCTTTGTTCTGATCCATCTGTTGCCATGACAGAATCTGCTGGAACCGCTGGTCCATTTCAGCCATGCTGCCAGAAAAATAGAATAGTCATTTACTGAGTACTTCCTGAGCACCTACTGTGTGCTGGGCGCCTCGGAGGAGACCGAGATAAATAATCACTCAACACCACCGGCAGGACACGTGCAGTCTCAGGGACATCAGGGAGGGTGGTACAGCTCCAAGTTGGCGGAGAATCACCCGGGTCCTACTGGGTCTCCTTCACAACACCCCCTGAAGTGGCTGCCTGGCTCCTGCCCAGCCACCTCTTGATGCCCTAATGAGCCACTCAGCCTCTGGAATGTTCCTTCCAGCATTTCCACACTGGCTGTACTCCGTGTTCAACCCTACAACAAGGCCGGTGACCGGCACAGAACCTGAAACCTCAGGATTCCCAAGCATCAAGACGTTAGCTTTGAGTTTCTTTCACATTAACTTTAAAAAAAATTTTTTGGTGATTTTAAAAAGGATTTATTTTTATGTTTATGGGTGTTTCACCTACATATATGTAAGTGCACCACATGTATGCAGTGCCCACAGAGACCGGAAGACCTCAGCTTTGACGCACAGGGGGACGGATAATAGTTGCACAGACAGAGCAGCACCCGGCGCACAGAGGTAGATGGTTGCCCTCAGTTTATCACTGCCTAAGCCTGCCTCGTGAGTCTAGACAAGAAAACCCAGAGGTTGGCTATCACCTGTCCTGACAGCACTGCCAAGGCTGGGACGGCCTGGGGACTTCAGGGTCCTGCTCTCGCCCCAGTCTTGGACCCCCAGCTGACCCCATCGGAGCCCTCACCTGGGAACACACGCTGTTCCTTACCTTACCTGGAACAGGCCTGCTGGACCAGGCTCTGCCTCTGAGACTCATAGGCCATCTGGATGAGCCGGCTCTTGCAGCTCTCGGTCAGCATCTGCTGCATGGCGGCTGCGGAGAGATGGCTGTGCGTGAGCTTCAGAGAAAGGTGGCTGCTCTCGGGGTCCCCTGGGTAAGGGCAGGCCCAGGGGGCTCGCCTGCTGACTGCTGGATGGTCCGACACTCTTAAAAAGGGCCTCCCCCTCTCCATCCTTCCTTGACAGCATTGCTAAGTAGCCCAGACTGGTCTTGAACTCTCAATCCTCCTGCCCCAGCACCCTGAGTTCTGTGACTGCAAATGAGCACCAGCACCTAGCCTTAAAAAAAAAAAAACTATACTGCCGAGTGCTGGTGGCACACGCCTTTAGTCCCAGCAGTCGGGAGGCAGAGGCAGGCAGGGGAGGCCAGCCTGATCTACAAAGCAAGTACCAGGACAGCCAGGGCTACACAGAGAAAACATGCCTTTGTTATTTTTTGTGAATTCTTTAAAAATTAAAAAAAAATTGTTCTGCCTGGGCGACCTGTGCACCCTGCGCACGCAGTCCCTGTGGAGGCCAGTAGAGGGCTCTGGATCCCCTGGGACTGGAGTCACAGAGGGTGGTGAGCTACCGTGAAGAGCTGGTATTAGAACCACAAAAACCCTCACCTTTCCCACCCTACAACTCACAGGCGATCTCACGCTGCCTCAGGTTCTCTGTCTCCTCCTGCGTTATGGACATCAACTGTTCCATTCTTATTCTAGGAAGAAATAAAAAAAGCACAAAACCAAAACCCATCCATTCATTCCAACAAGAATCTTACCAGATACACACTGCCTCCTCCAGGAAGCCTACCCTGATGATCCAGTCCATGCTGCATGCCCACAGTATCACACACATCCCCTGAGGAGTCAACCTTGAGCCTGGGCTTTAAAGACGTGTGTAGAAGATGATTATTCTCTAGGACAGTGGGTCACCAACGTTAGGAGCCAGTACTATGAACAAATGGGAAGATGCCTAACAACCAGGGACACTGAAGGACACTGTTGGCTGCTGTTGCTTGCTGGCGACTTCAGACAATGGGACACCTTCCTGCACCGCCAAGAGGGATGTACACAGACAGCAGGAGAAGTCAGAGCCTCACCTGAATGCCCTCTGCATATTTACCCCAAAACCAGTTCACTGACAGTACCTAAGGACAGCCTCATTCCGACGCAGGGTCTCTACTATGTAGCCCTGGCCTCTGCCTTCTGAGCAGGTTTTAGGAAATACCATTTTATGTGTATAGGTTTTTTACCTACATGTCTATCTGTGTCCCACATTCGAATGTGCCTAGTGTCCCCAGACACCACAAGAGGCTGTCAGAGCCCCTGGACCTGGAGTTACAGATGGTTGTGAGCTCTCATGTGGGTTTGAACTCGGGTCTTCTGGAAGAGCAGCTAGTGCTTGTAACCGCTGAGCCATTCCTCCAGCCCCCAACAAACAAGGTCTTGGGCACAGAGCTAAATCCACAACACTAGGAAGTCAAAGAATTTAAGGGTGACGTCTCACACACACACATACACACACACACACACACACACATACACACACACACACACACACACACGGCATGCTGTGTGTGCATTTTTGTATTCATGTCGCAATCAGCACCCTGCATGTCCCCGTGTGTGACTACTTCAAAGGCCTGGACGGGGCTGTCCTTTGGCCTAGGGCGACTCCAGACATGGTCTGTCACTAAGGGCTGGATGTGTGTGTGCCACTGGGTACCACTCAGCTGCGCCTCGGCAGCCACAGCTGGACTGGGCAGGACAGACGCAGGGAGGACTCCGAGGATCCTCCTGGGTGGTGAGGGCTGTGACGGCTGGGGAGAGGTTCCCCGGACAGCTCAGATGTTCTGCCGCTGTGGGGACCCAGAAGGGTCATGGGAGAGTCACAGAGACATCTCAGAGAGGGACGGGCGGTGGTGCCGGCCCCTCCCCCATCATTTATCTTTGCTTGTTTCTCTTTTTTCCTTCCTTTAATTTTTTTTTTCTTTTTTGGACAGGCCTCACTATGTAGCCTAGGCTAGCTTGGAACTTCCTATGTAGACCAGGTTGGTCTCCAGCTTGTGATCCTCCTGAGGGCTAGGATTACAGACATGTACCACACACACACGTGTGTGTACACGTATTGTTTGTGGAGGCCAAGTGTTGGATGTCTTCCTCTGTCCCTCTCTCCTGACTTTTTGAGACAAAGTTTCTCCCTGACCCCGAAACTCATCGGTCTCACCAGAAGGTCTTACAGATTCCTGTTTCTACCCCAGCCTTGCAATTGCAGGGCGCACTGCCATGCTTGGGTTTTATGCAGGTGCTAAGGACGCTGGGAACTCAGGTCCTGACGCCTGCGTGGGAAGCTCTTTACGGAGCCATCTCTCAGTCCCTTCTGCTAAGAGTACTCACTATGTGGTAGGAGCTGGCTTGAACTCCTGCTTCACATCCCTGGCGCTAGAATGCCAGCTGCGTGCCAAGCCTGACCTATTATTTCTCTGACAACAAACGCGGTGCGCCTCCAAGTAGCCAACCTGGTGAATGCCCAAGACGAAGGGAAAACAAGGGCCACCACCTGGAATTTCCGTCTGTCACGGCGTCCAGCATCAACCCTGGGGATGGGTCCCTTTGCTTCTCACATGCAAACATCTGAAGAGCCAGGCTGAGTCCATTCTGCTTAATGCTGCCCACTATAGCAGTGGAGGAATGCAGTCGGTCCTGTGTATCCGTGGGCTCTGTTTGCGGATTCAATCAGTAATACTTGGAAAAACCTCGTGTCTCTACTGGCACGAGCATATTTCCCCTGTATCTCCTAAGCAATGGGGCAGAGCTGCTATTTGCACAGCATCTGCATTACATCAGGTATCACAAAGAGCGCACAGCAGACAGAAAAACGTGAGAACTGTAGGTTCTCAACCTTCCTAATGCTACTGCCACCTTTAACAGCTCCTCATGTTGTGGTGACACACACCAGAAAACCATTCTCGCTGCTGCTTCACAGCTGCAATTTTGCTACTGTTAAACGCAGAACGTAAATACCTGTGTTTTTGGATGGTCTAAGGTGACCCTGTGAAAAGATCATTTATTCCCTTGTCGTGACCCATGGGTTGAGAACCACTGTTCTAGGCAACTATCTCACTTTATTTGAGGGACCTGCGCAGCTGTGGTTGGGGGCCAAAAGTATCACATTCTTTTTATTTCTACAAATATGGATTTTTAAAATTTTATTCATTTATTTTTAGTTTTGGACAGGGTTTCTCTATGCAGCCCTGGGTGTCCTGGCATTTACTTTGTAGACCAGGCTGGGCTTGAATTCACAGAGATCTGATTGCCTTTCTTAGTGCTGGGATTAAAGGCATATGCCACCATACCTGGGCTAAATGTGAATTAAAAAAATTTTTTTTTGTTTTTTTTGTTTTGTTTTTCGAGACAGGGTTTCTCTGTGGCTTAGGAGGCTGTCCTGGAACTCGCTCTGTAGACCAGGCTGGCCTCGAACTCACAGAGATCCGCCTGCCTCTGCCTCCCGAGTGCTGGGATTAAAGGCGTGCGCCACCAACGCCCAGCTTAAAAATGTTTTATAGCTAAAATACAGATGGGCATTATAGATCTGTCTTCCTTCTTTTATATTTCTCAGTTTTTCTCAAGGATGTACTTTTTTTTTTTTTCGAGACAGGGTTTCTCTGTGGCTTTGGAGGCTTTCCTAAAACTAGCTCTTGTAAACCAGGCTGGTGTTGAACTCACAGAGATCTGCCTGCCTCTGCCTCCCGAGTGCTGGGATTAAAGGCCTGTACCACCACCACCTGGCATGGATGTACACATTTTATTTTATTTATTTAATTTCTTTTGGTGTTTTCGAGACAGGGTTTCTCTGCGACTTTGGAGGAACTAGCTCTTATAGACCAGGCTGGTCTTGAACTCACAGAGATCCGCCAGCCTCCCGAGTGCCTGTACCACAAATGCCCGGCGTGGGTGGTACATATTTTAAGAACTAAAAGATCTATTATTAACTGGATGCTAAGAGGTGACTCTCCTAGAGTGCCAGGGAGACTTCCCAGTACAAGGGAGGAGCCTATGGTTCCCTTTCCCCAGAGCACTGAGTGTCCCAGGGTGTCTGCTCCCCAGAGCAGTGAGAGCCCCAGGGTGTCCATTCCCTAGAGTGGTGAGCACCCCAGGGTGTCTGTTCCCCAGAGCACTGAGTGTCCCAGGGTGTCTGTTCCCCAGAGCACTGAGTGTCCCAGGGTGTCTGTTCCCCAGAGCACTGAGTGTCCCAGGGTGTCTGTTCCCCAGAGCAGTGAGAGCCCTAGGGTGTCTGTTCCCCAGAGTGGTGAGCACCCCAGGGAACTTTCTCCAGACCCGTGGTCCTAGAGGCTCACTTACCTCTCATTCTCGAGCGATTTTAGGATCTCAGAACTCTTCTTCTGCCTGTGGGAAAAACCAGAGATAGCTGTGAGCATCAGCAATGCTGCCTCCAACCAAGCTGCCCACCTCACCACACTGGCTGAGTCCACTCACTACCCAGGAGCTCTGTCCTCGGCTGGGAAACCCTCTCAGGCTCTCCTATGATGGGACAGTGGAAGTACTTCTTAGGTGACAGGCTAAGGTGGCGCACTCCTTTAATCCCAGCACTCGGGAGGCAGAGGCTGGCATATCTCTGTGAGTTTGAGGCCAGCCTGGTCTACAGAGTGAGTTCCAGGCCAGCCAGGGCTGCACAGACAAGCAGTAAGTAATAAGAGATAACACAGAGTGTGGGAACACACAGAGCGGGGTACGGACGCACCAGACCAGGGTCTCTCTCCCGCATTCGCTCACTTTGTCCCTGAAGATGACAGAAGAAAAGGGTGCAAGGCCTGGCAGAAGGAAGCCCGGGGCTAGTGGGGCATTTGGCTAGAGCCAGCCCCCAGAATCTTCCTGTGGTGGATCCCTAACTAATCAGATGTTTTCAGACATGGGAGCTCTACTCGGCTCCTTCCTCTCCAACCCCATCATGAGCTGCTCTTGGTAGCAGTAGTTCCTAAGTAAGACAGTTTGTTACCTATAGGGTGAGCGGCTGCCCTCAGGCAACAGGCTACTAGGAAGCCAAAAGCAGAAGTCTGTGGTTTTTACCTGCTAGAATGTAAAAAGGAAACAGGCGGGGGAGGGGTGGTGGTGGTGGCTTAATGCAGTCAATAGTCCTGTGACAGAAGCCAATTCTGCAAACCCCGGGATAGGTTTTCCGTAAGTCAAAGCAACCAAAGCGCCTTCCTTGGAGCCTAGCACAGGAATGCTTGTCCCTGGCCCTCAGCGGGCATTCTGGGGGCTGGCCAGGACTGACCTCTGATTGTCCTGCAGGAGTCTGTGGATGCGGCTGGCAATGCTCTGCTCCGTCTGCTTCAGCTGCGCCTGCAGCTGCTGCCGTTCTGCGTCCAGACAGCGCTGGCGCTCACTCAGGCCCTGCTCCAGCCGTGTCTGCTCCTGCAGCAGGGGAGGCACAGGAACCCCAGATGCAGGCACGGTTGGGGTTTTGACTGGGGGAAGGAGAGGGGAGGTCCTAGCTCACTTTGTACATGTCCTTGGTGACCTTGGGCTGGTCCCTGCCTCCCCACTAGGCTCTTGAGTGTCCATTGTGCCCAAGGAGGCTGGCCAGGGTATCTAGTCAGGGCCTCCATTCCTGCTTCCAGGGGACGGCGGGGCAGCTTAATCCCCTGCTTCACCACTTCCTTGGGACCTGCACCAGGAGGCCACAGCCTTGGGGCCCAGGTGGGCTGGCGTGGCCACACACCTGCTTGACGGACTGCAGGATCTCGTCCTTGTGACTGTGGCTCTGCTGCAGGAGCTCAGCATGCTCTCGCTGCCCGAGGTCCAGGCGCCGCTCGAACTCCAGCTTCTCCAGCATCTTCTGCTCCTGTGGGAACAAGATGCCTGCCCTGTGTCTAAAGCAGAGCTGGGAGGAAGCTGTCCCTCAACTCCCTGAGTGAGGAGCTTCGATACTCCAGGAGAACAAAAGAGGCAGGGAGGCCCTTACCTTTCTCCTCTCGTAGTCTGAGAACCGGTTCTGGGGGAGAAAAGCCAGAGGTGAGGTCATGGTGGTGGCCGTGGTTCCTGCTGCATACCCTGACCCACCCAGCCTGCTTCTCTGGGACGAGGAGATGGAAGGGTGAAAACTGATGAAGGGACCTGGAGGGCTCCAGCATGAGCAATGCTGTACGCGTCTCACCCGCATGCACGCACGCACGCACGCACGCACGCAAATAATTTCTAAAAGCTCAAAGGCCATCCTTAGCTACATATTAAAAAATAAGATAAAATGAAAATCAAAGAGTGAGTGGGACACTTCCCAAGATGCTGATGCTGGTGGGGAAAGAGGCCTGGACACCTGATGTGGTGGCGGTTGTGGTAGCTGAGTCTGTGGCTCTGAACGGAGGGATCTGTAGCTACAGCTCTGAACACCTTCTTATGCCATTGGCTCAATACCTGCCCGGACACGCCCATGCCGGTAGCTCGTCTCACCTGCCATTCAGCCTCCTCCCTGGACAATCTGTTGATGGGTCCGTCGGGGCTGTCCTGGGAGGTCTCAGCTCCGTCTTGCTCCAGGACTGGCAGTAGGTACTGAGAAGGAGGGTAGTATTCCAGTCCTGACTCTATGGGCAGAGAAGGGACGCAAGCTGGTCAGGAGCACCCCAGCTGCTCGCTCTCCTCTGTCCTCCACCGCAGCTGCCCTGCTGGCTCAGTCCACTCTCATCTCCCAAGGCTGGGCCTCGCTTCTGTATAATAATTACTGCTCAGCGTCAGGCCTGGTGGCATAGCCTTGCAATCCCAGCTACTCAGAAAGCGGGGTGACTGCGAGTTCCAAGCTTGTCTAAGTAACTTAGCAAGACCCGTCTCAAAATGAAACACAGAAAAGGGCTGGGATGCACTGAGCGGTAGAGCCCCTGCCAAGCATATGTGGGGGCCCCAGTTCGATCCCCGCGGGAGGGAAATGGATGATGTCGCATATTTGAGTTCTGCAGTCTGCATATGCAAATTTACTTATGCTTTATTTTTATGCCTATTGCTTACACAAACATTAGGGAATCTTAAAGCATTCCTTTGGTGTTTAGAGTCACAGTAGGTAGCACAGGCTGGCCTCAAAGTCACAATCTTCCTGGTTTTGTTTCCCCAGGTGTCAAAATTATAGGTGTATACTACTCTATCCAGAAAAATTTTTCCCTTTATTTTAGCAGCTGGGAACTGAAGGCAGAGCCTCGTGTAGGTTAGCAAGTGCTCTGCCACAGCCTGAAGCACATTTAAAGTCGACTACACCCTTACGAGCCAGGGGCAGTGCTGGCTCCCAACGTGGTTGCTTCCAGGCACAAGCACACTTCCTCTGTGCCTGGCTCCTCTCTGGCAGAGACCCCCAGCTCGCTGTATGCAGTTTGTTCTTCCAATGCTGTGTGGGTATGAAACAGTTCATTCATTCTCCTGCTGCCGGACACCACGTGGGAACAGTGCTTCTGTGAGTGTCTGTGGACAGCACGGCTTCTCTGTCTGTTGGGCAAACACCTAGGCAGGGAACTAACTGAGCTGTAGCTGACAACATACGAAGACGGGGAGAGAGAGACAGGGTCTCACTACACAGCTCAGGCTAACCTTGATCTCACTAACAAGACTGACTCTGATCTCCCTGTGTGCAAGCGCTCAGTGCCACACCCAGCTGTATTTATAATTTACTGGTTTATTTGGAGATGGCTGGCCTCCCACCATACTATAAGCCCGCATCTGCTTCTGGGGTGCTAGGGTTACGGGTCTGTGCTACTACACACACGTTACGCGGTGCAGAGGCTTCATGTTTAACAGCCAGCACAGGGCAGCCAAGCTGCTTCCCCAGCCGGTCTTGAGACAGGATCATCAGGACATCATTTTTTTCCTGCAGCTCCAAGCCAGCAGACCTGGGATCATTTGCATATGGGAACACTCACCCTTCAGTTCACCCCGCACTCCTCATGAATAATTCAGATGACTAGAGGCTTGCTCTGAGAACACAGGTGACAACAGCCCCAAGATGGTCCCTCCGGGTGCCCAGGTCACAAGGGTCTCCTCAGGTGGCCCAGGCCTGCCTAGGGTGCTGTCCTCGTTCCTCCAGTTACTTACTACGTGCTCTTTGTGAAACCAGGCCTCCTGCTGGACCCCACCCTGCATTTTTCCTCCTTGGCTTCAGCACCCCAGCCATCCTGGCCCTCTCCACAGTACCTCAGGCTCCCCGACCGTCCTGTAGGTCTCTAACACTTGCCTCCTGTCTCTTCTCCTGACCCGAGCTCCCTGTCAGGCGTCAGCCATGCTACTTTCTCAGACAGGCTCCCCAGCCCTAACTAACCTAAGACAGATGCCTGACTAATCTTTCCCAAGCTCGGCCTGGGTGTTTAAGTCCCTGTGATCCTTCATTGTACCTGTGGCCCTCACTGGACCCTGACCTGCTGCCCCCAGCCTGCAGGGCAGGGGATGGCCATGAGGCCTGGGGGAGGGGCAGGGGTGGCCTGCCTTTACCTTTGCAAAGGAACTGCTGCACGGCCGCAGTGCCAGCGCCACACACCTCTGGCGGCGGGTAGACCATGGACAGGGCATCAAGGCTCAGCGTCTGTGGACACAGGGAACCCTTAACTGTGTACGCCACTTCACCGCCTGGCGCAGGCAAAGTCACTGTTATTAACTTGGGTGCTGGGTGTCTCCCCTGCCTACTCGGGGAGCAGAGATGGCCAGATCTAAAGAGCATTGATCCCACCTGGGTGACATTAGTAATCACTGTGGTGGCTTGAGTGTGCACACTGGGGCCACACTGCCCAATACGGTGGCTGAGTCACGGGTGGTCATTTACATTTCTTGAGCTGTGTGTGCATGCGTGTGTGTGGTGTGTGTGTGTGTGTGTGTGTGTGTGTGTGTGTGTAGAGCCCGGTGATAACCCTGAGTGTTTTCATTAGGAACCATTCACTTTGCTTTTCGAGATAATCTCTCACTGGCCTGGAACTTGGTAAGCTGGCTAGCAAGGCCCAGGGACCTGTTGTCTCTGCCCCAGGGCTGGGATTGTAGGTGCCTGGCTCTAGGGACTGAGCTCAGGTCTTTTACAAGCCTTTTCCCCACTGACCATCACCCCAGCCCCATTTTTTTCTCCTTAAGATCTTGTTATGTGGTCCAGGTTCCACCGGAATCTGTGACCCTCCTGCCTCCTTCCAGATGTCAGGAGCACAGGTGCACACTGTCACAAGCAGCCTTCATTTCAGTTTTCTGTTGTTGTTGTTGTTGTTTTTTACGAGACAGGGTTTCTTCTGTATTGTTTTCGAGGCTGTTGGTCCAGCCCAGCCTCGAACTCACAGAGATCCGCCTGCCTCTGCCTCCCGAATGCTGGGGTTAAAGGCGTGCGCCACCACCACCGCCTGGCTTCATTTCAGTTTTAATAAGTTAGGTCGCCGTGGCTATGTGCACATGTCAGCTTGGTAGCCACAGTTCTTGGGTGGCCATCCAGATGACAGCATCTGTGTTACCTGCAGGGGGAGTCTGTTTCTTGAGGGACACTCAGCCTGGCTTTAAACCCCAGCACAGTACAGTGAGCTGTGCACCCTAAACAGGTCATTTAGCTGGATCAGGGTGTAACTTTCTCAGTGTCACACTAGCGCGATATCCCTGATTTGACGGGATGTATGGCAGGTAACAGGGGACAGCATCTGAACGGAGCTGACTCACAATATGGCCTTGTTGACAATGCCTGTGCTCTCACTCTGATAAAAGGTCTGACCAGGGGCCAAGATGCTCCCAAGGGGTTTAAAGGAACATCTGGGAAAGGAGTTCCACCCAAACTTCTGCTGCAGAGCTGGGGCTCAAGCATGCTAAGCAAGGGCTCCGCCCCGGAGCCACAGCCCTAGGGCTCTCAGTGTCTTAGGGTAGTCAGCTTCAGGACCAGGGACATGCTCTGAGCTATGCTGACATATTTGGCAACTGCAAAGCACAGGTGACTCTTTTCCTGTGCATTAACAAAGATTCGACAGCACCATTTAGTTCCTTGGTGGCACCAGTCACGTTCCAAATGCTCAAGGGACGTGTGTGGCCACTGAACTGGGCAGCACAGTCAGCGGAAACTCCCATTATTGCAGAGCAATCTCCTGAGAGTCACAGAGAACGCAGCTGACCGAGCACACGGCATTTCCACCGTGCGAGGGGCGCCAGACACAGATGAGCCGGCTCTCCTCAACTGTCACCTCCCAGACACCTCTGCTCTACAGTGTAACTCAACAGAGCTGAGTCACCAAAAGAACTAGGGAGTTCTGGGATGCTCAGCCAGGCTGTCACCGATACCCAGACACTGAGCTTTGCAAAGGTGATGGCCATAAGGGTTGTTGCAGAGGGTGTGATGCCCAATCCCATCTCTGACCAGCAGTGTGGCCTTTGAGAAGTCCAATAGACTTGCTTGTGCCCCAGTCCCGTCATCGGCGAAGTCATAACAGGACACGCCTGCAGGGGTTCTGTGTGGGTTCTGGAGCTAACACAGGCCCAGCTGGTAGAGCAAAGCCCTGGGATGAGTGCCGGCACCATACAAACTGGGTGTATTGGTGCAAATCTGTACTCTTAGTAGGTGGAGGCGGAGGATGAAAAGTTCAAAGCCATCCTCTGCTACACGGTGAATTCAAGGCCAGCCTGGACCACATGAGACTTTATCTCAAAACACATAAAAATGCCAGAGGAGCCAACAAGCTACCCTGTCATGACCAAGAGTCCCATTGTCCTGGAGTGGGCCAGCTGGTGCTGGCGCCTGTGGTGGGCTGAGCGGTTGCGTTCCTGCTTTTTACACTGAAGTTCTAACCCTGGACTCCAGAATGTGACTACACTTAGAGCCAGGCTGGACCCTAGCCCAATCCAACTGATATCATTTAATAAGAGGAGATTTGACACAGACACGCAGAGACAGAGGACAGATACAGGAAGGACAGGCCACCTGCAGAGAGGAGCCTTAAAAGGAACCAACCCTGTCAACACTGGGATCTTGGATTCTCATCCAGACTGAGGACACAAGCTCCTTTGGTGTGGGGAGCTTCCTTATTCACCCGGAGATGACTCACATGGGGTCCCAGGACACTCTTACCCTACCAACCTGGGCTCCGAAGAGACGTAGTTTCCACACCGAAACCCAGATCTGCACGCGGCCCCTGCCCCACTCCCAGCTTTCCGGGCTCCAGGTACAGCAATTTCTGTCCTCAGCACTTCCTGTCCACAGCCCATTCTAGCTTGCTTACTGCCTCTCTCCACTGGACGCCCCATTTCCATGGCTATGTCCCAAATCTCGTTCCTCTCCAAAGCCTGGCTTCGAGGCCACAGAGTGGGGACGTTTCTGGATTCCCCTGCCCTCCTTCACTTCGGACGTATGCCCTCCCACCCCCGCGACAGCAGCAGAGTCACTACGCGACGACATTAACACGTCCCTCTCTGTGACACTGGGGAGAATGCCCCTTACCTCCAGTGTCCGCACGTGAGCCAGCATCTGCGGCAGTCTCCGAACTTCGTTCCCACTGATGTCGAGGGTACGCAGGCTTCGCAGCTCTCCCAGGGTGTCAGGAAGTTCCCTCAGCTTGTTGTCTGCAGGGACCCAGGTGGCAAACTGAGCGCCCCAGAGCCTGCTGCCACCTCCCGATGCCGTGGGATGTGGGGCTGGGAGGCTCTGTCACTGCTGAGCTGAGCAACTCAGGACGCCTGGCCCCCTCCCTGGGCCTCTTCCCCTCTGTGACAGGTCATCCGTCACATGGGTCCCTCTTTGCTGAGAGGCCGGGGCAGCAAGGGCACGAGGAAGAGCCTGGCCAAAGTGAGGCCAGTCCTCGTTGGAGGACGAGGACACTACGCTGGCACCCTGGCTAGTCACCACCTCACTGCGGGCCACAGCTGAGTCTCACTTTCCTCGTGCTAACCTGCCTCATGGACTTGCCAGGGCAGCCACGTCCACGGGGCCAACACTATGCACCGAGTGCCCCAAGCCACGGCAGCGGCGCCTCCTTCTACCTTAGTCTGCTCTCTTCCCGTCCCTTAGCCTCCTGCCCCGAGAGAGCCTCTGATTCCGGGGGTCAGGGCTCTTTAGACACACTGCCTCTGGATCGGTTCATGACCAGAGACGGAACACACTGAGCTAGCCAGGGCTCAGTCGGGCTTGTGGCATCGCCCTCACACTCGGTGGCTCCCAAGAGGGGCCACTGTGGATGCTGACACGGCCTGGGCTTTGCGGCCCTACCTTTCACAATGAGGGTCTGGAGCTGAAGCAGGTTCCCAATAGAGCGTGGCAGATGTGTCAGTTGATTCCTTTCCACGTTCAAGACCTAAGGAAAAAAACAGTGACATGGGGAGCACCAGGACAACAGCGACTGTCTGCACGCTCAGCCCTGCACTACCCAGGCACTCAATACACCTGCCTCTATCTCTTCCTACAGCCCTGTGAGGGAGGCAAGGGTTGTTATGGTCCCATCTAAGAGATGAGAAAACTGAGGCTTACAAAGGTTAAGTCACACATCCAAGAGAGCAGGGCCAAGCCCTTGGACACACTCCTATAGCATGGTTTACCAACTATACTAACTGCAGGATGCCCAGGAATTGCAAGAACCAATGTGGAGGCAGAAAGCTTGTCAGCGACTCAGTGAGGCAGTGACGGTAGATTATGGCTATCTACTGTTGAGCAATGGGGAGGTATATCTCAGGGCTAGCCCCAGATAAAGCACTCAGCCAGTGCTGGGGCAGCTACGCACAAAGCACCAGGGGGCCAGGAGAATACACAATTTGTCCTTTTAAAATAATATATAAAAACGTAGGCACCACCTGCACGCAGTGCCTGTGGAGGCCAGAAGAGGGAGCGCATGAGGTCCCCTGAAACTGGAGTGACAGACACTTGTGAGCTGCCAGGTAGGTGCTGGGAACCTAACGGGGGTCCTTTTCAAGAGCAGCCAGTGCTCCTAACCACTGTGGCACCTCTACAGCCCCTGGGATCTGTCTTGAAGATGGAGACCCACCGAGTGTTTGTTTTTTGGGGGGAGGAGTTAGAGCTGTGAAGCCATGAAATACCACGAAGTGTACATGCCAAGTCCCGGTAGAGAGAGCCTCTCAGGCTGCAATGGCGAAGGCAGCCCCACTGCTGAGCGCAGCCGGGGGTCCACCAGTGGCGGCGTATCAGAACGTCCCACCGTTACAGAAGGCTGTGTCTACCACCTCACCTGCAAGGCTGTCAGCTGCCCCATGTCATCAGGAAGGGCTGTCAGCTGGTTGTCATGGAGATCCAGAACCTACAGAACAAACATGTCTGTCAGGCCCCAGAGCAGCTGGAGATACCCAGGTAAGAACACGGCAACTGCAGCAGGAAACTGGAGCCATGGCATCTAGAGTAAACACCAGCAAGTGTCTTCTGGAGGTGCTTGGACCTTAAATCACAGCAGAAACCAGTGATTGCTTTCTGTTATCCGTAGAGTTGCTTCTCTGACGGAGCTTTACAGCCTTTGCATGACTTTAGTCACGTGACAGCTCTGGCACACCTGGAACGTTTTCCATTGCTGGGTAATGCAAAACAGTGCACCCTAAGGACCGAAAATGGAAGGGTGAGGCGTTCCTTCCAGAAATGTAGATTAGATCTGGGTTTTGGTATTAGGAACTTGTTTTACTCTAAAAACAACTTTTGTGTGGCCATCAATAAATCATCTTCTATGTGGCTGGTCCTCTCTGCAGCCTGCAAGGCCTTGTTTCATCCTTGAGTGACTCTTTTTTTGATCATCCTGCTCACACATAGTCTTTTTTTGTGTTTGTGGTTTTTTGTTTTTGTTTTTGAGGTTTTTTTTGGTTTTTCGAGACAGGGTTTCTCTGTATTGTTTTGGAGGCTGTCCTGGAACTCACTCTGTAGACCAGGCTGGCCTCGAACTCACAGAGATCCGCCTGCCTCTGCCTCCCAAGTGCTGGGATTAAAGGTGTGCACCACCAACACCCGGCTCTTTTTTTTTTTTTTTTTTTTTTTTTTTGGTAGTGTCTCTCTACATAGTCCTGGCTGTCTGGGAATTTACTCTGTAGACCAGTCTGACCCACAGAGATCCACCTGCCTCAGCCTCCTGCGTGCTGGGATTAAAGGCGTGCAGTACCACGCCCAATTCTTTTTTCTTTCCTTCTTTTTGTTTTTGGAGACAAGGTCTTACACTATGTAGTCCTGGCTGGCCTTGAACTCACTGAGACCTGTCAGCCTCTGCGGGGACTAAAGGCAGGTGCCAGCACATCCAGCTCCGTCAACTCTCCATCTCTCATTCCTGCCCCTTTTCTTTCAGGCTTTAGAGACAGGCTCTTACAGTGTAGTCAATGCTAGGTCAATTCTCAACCTCTTCGCCAATGGTCAGGATCGCAGATATGTGCAGACAGACCACATCTGGCTCAAGTGTTCTCTTTTTACTGAATACAAATATTATTCATGTACTGGAGTGTGACTCGGGGGCAGAGTATATGAGGGCCTGGGTATATCTGAGTGTACACACACACACACACACACACACACACAGAGAGAGAAAACAACAAAAAAAGGCATGAAGAGGAGATGGAGAGATGGTTCAGTAGTTAAGAGCTGCTCTTGCAAAGGACCCAAGTTTGGGTCACAGCAACCCCATTGGACAGCTCACAACAGCCTGTAACTCCCATTCTAGGAGATCTAATGCCCTCTTCTGGCTTGTTGAGGCACTGCATACATGTGGTGTACATAATACATACAGGCAAACAATCATATACATAAAATAGAAAAAAGTAAATCTCTTAAAAGCACTGAGCAGTACGTGTGTTGGCACACTTTTAATTCCAGGGCTCAGGTGATAGAGGGAGACAGATCTTTGGGTGCGAGGCAAGACTGGACTACCCAGCCAGCTCTAGGCCAGCTAGGACTACACAGCAAGATCACATCTTAAAAAAAAAAGAATCACTGGGCTGGGGAGTGGCTCAGAGGCTAAGAATACTTGCTGCTTTTGCAGAGGACCTAGGTTCAGATCCTTGCACCCACATCAGTTCCAGGGAACCCAACACCCTTCTGGCCTCGACAAACACCGTATATATGTTGTGCACATACACACCTCAGGCACACAAATAAAATTTAAAAATTAAAAAAAATCACCATGTAACAAAGCTACTGCAGCCCCACCTGAAGATTTAGCCTTCACTTTAGTGTAGGACTCACCCTTACAAGTTCACCTTCAGGCAGAACAACCCTGGGCTGACATGGCAACTCTGTATGACTTTACCACATCCTGGAAGGGTCCACAGTCAGGAGGGAGTCCACCCCGTCACTCAGGTATCAATGCAGTGCCCTCTCTGGATGCCCCTCCTGCTCCCGTTAGGACCATCATGTCCATCCTTTCTGCTGGCCTGGCTTGAGTTAGGACCAGTTGGAGTGGAAACCTCAGGTGCTATGGCTGCTTTTCTGTACCAACAACACCCAAGACTGCTTAGAAAACCATGCTACTGAGATACCACAGTGACCATCCTGTGAGGACCATCTGGCATATTTTAACAGAGACCCAAGGAGTATGTGGAGGCTCAGCGGCCACCTGGAGCACCAGAGTCCCCAACGCCTAGAGAGGGCCCAGTACCTTGATGGTGGCAAGGCTCAAGAGGCTGCAGGACTTGGGAAGCAAGGAGGTGAGATGGTTTGTATGCACGATCAACACCTGTGAGAAAAGACGAGAGAAATGCCAGGTTCCCGGACAGCAGCAGGCAGGGAAGGAAGGCTAAGGGGGAGCCCAGGGCGGCCATGCTGAGCTCCGTACATCTTTGCTCAGCCAGACCCACGATGGGGCGGCTGTCAGTCATGGCACTTCTGAACCTGACTCAGATGGCTGCGGTGAAAGGGAGTTTGGGTCTAATTCTACCTTCTATTCTGAGAAGAGATCAGCTATCATGAACTTATTAGCATTTCCTGGCTCTAACGGTTTCTGGACAACAGAGTAATAAAGTACCTCTCTCCAAGGGCAGCCATGATAATTTGCAAGCCACCTGGTCAAATAGTGTTTAGCCCAGGCTATCACATGGTCTGCTACTCACACTGTGTCAACCATGGCTATTTTGTTAGACATTAACTCCTGCTTTGACATTTCAAAAGAATTCCACTACTATTGCTATTGGCAGAGAACCGGTTTTACCTTTCTGTGTCCAGATCTGATGGTGTGCACATACCCACCCGTATGCAAAGCCTGGAATGATCTTCTGAAAATGCTTTCATGCCCTTCTAACTCAGGGGCGGGGTGGCCAGAATGCACGGAATGTCCTTTCTATTAACGACACTGGGGAGGTAAAAGCTGTACCGTGTGGCTGGTGAGCTGCTCTCTCTACCTCTCATTTAGTTCATGCAACACCAAGAGATAGCTATTAATGTCTTCTTCCTTCCACAGATGAAGAAACTGGGGTCTAGGCTGGAGATGGCTCAGCAGTTAAGAGCACTGACTGCTCTTTCAAAGCACCTAGGTTTGATTTCCAGGATCCACATGGCAGCTCACAGCAATCTACAGCGACAGTTCCAGAGACTCTGATGGGCTTCTGGCCTACCCAGGCGGCACACACGTATGTGATGCAAATACATATCCAAGCAAAGTACACATAAAATACTAACAGTTAATAAAAGAAACAGAGGTGTTGGCGTGTAAGGAAGCTATCTAAGTCATAAGCTAGTGAAAGTCAGGGCCACGAGCAGCCTAGAGTGGTCCAACCCCAGAGCCTCCTCTCCTAATTGTGACAACTTCTACTGCAGGTCAAAAGGGTGAGGGCCAGAGGATGGGAAGGTGGCCATGTGAGGACCATGAGTCCCATGTGGTTCCCCCAAGCGGACACTCAGAGAGAGATTTTTTTTTTAACAATGACTCTGCTCACCTTTTTCTGCAGAACTTTGCACGTTGAGAAAACCCCCAATGGAATCTAAGACAAGACAAAGAAAGGTCAGAGCTCCTCACCTGTTGGCTGTCCCACCTGCTCACCGGTGGCACTGGTGTTGAGGAGGTGACTGAGGACAGTAAGCCGCTGACACTGCTTAGCCAGGGGAGGGCTGGGGAGAATGGAGGAGCTGGCCATCAGCTGCCGGCCCACCCTAGCTTACATACTCTGTGGTATCAGGAACTGTAGGGGGCAATGTCCTCCCCACAACACCCCAGGAATCTGTAGTGTGTTTTCCCTTCTTCCCATGGCATGGGGATTAAACCTAGGGCATCTTGCATGCTTAACAAACTCTACCACTGAGTTGTTTTTGTCTTTGTTTTCTGTTTTTGGGGTTTTTCTTTTTCTTTTTTCTTTTTTTTTTTTGTTTTTTTTTGTTTTACAAGACAGGGTTTCTCTGTATTGTTTTGGAGGCTGTGGGTCCAGCCTGGCCTCGAATTCACAGAGATCTGCCTGCCTCTGCCTCCCGAGTGCTGGGATTAAAGGCGTGCGCCACCACCGCCCGGCTTTGTTTTGGTTTTTTTGAGACAGGGTTTCTCTGTGTAGCTTTGGAACCTGTCCTGGAACTCACTCTGTAAACCAGGCTGGCCTTGAACTCACAGAGATCTGCCTGCTTCTATCTCCCAAGTGCTGGGATTAAAGCCATACACCACCACTGCCCGGCTCTACCATTGAGTTTTATTCCCTAGATTTCCCGTCCTGCCTTTCTCCAGGATTTTACTATGTAGACCTCAGACTCATGATCCTCCCCACCTCTGCCTCCTGAATGGAATTCTTGGAATAAAGACCATCTCAATTCTTTTGGACAGGAACACAATATAAGGAACGTCTCTTACCTAGTGCGTCTGTGCGTACACTCTATGCAGGAGAGGAGCTGATGTCGTGTCTAACTCCCCACCTTGTGTTTCTGAGACAGAGTTTCTCACGGAGCTCAGAGCTCACTGACTCAGCAAGGACACTTGGCTAGCAAGCCTCAGGGAGCCCAGTCCCCGTGCTTACGAGGCAAGCGTTTTGTGGGTGGAGCCAGCTGCCCATTCTCACGTTTGTCATTTTCTAAGTCTCAGTGTACCCTGTTCTCCTCAGGGGCAGATTAAATTCACAGCCTTCATGCACCTCACTTTACCTCGGAGAGTTCACATTTAGAGATGTCAAGAATGTCATCTGCCCCAGCTTCTTTTGCCTAAGGTGGAAAAAGACATTTTTAAGTTAAATATTTTTTGAGACAGGGTTTCATGTAGCATCAGACTCATTGTGTAGGCAAAGCTGGCCTCTAACTCCTGATCCTCCTGCTCGTACCTCCTAAGAATTAGTGCTCTGCAGAGGTTAGAGAGGGAGGCTTTTAAAATAATCTTTAGATCTCCTGGGTATGGTGGCGCACACCTTTAATCCCAGCACTCGGGAGACAGAGGCAGGTGGATCTCTGAGTTCCAGGCCAGCCTGGTCTACAGAGTGACTTCCAGGACAGCCTGGTGTACACTGAGAAACCCTGTCTCAATTCCTCATCCCCCTACACAAAGTCTTCAAGTCCTGTATGTTTACAAAGGCTCTGTTGATTCTGTGTTTCATATTTATGACAATAGCTTCTTAAAATTAGTTGCAATTGGTTTTGCTTTATTTTGAGCCTTGAAGGTTTAAGAAAAAAAATTCTTTTTCCGAAACAGGGTTTCTCTATTGTTTTGGAGACTGTCCTAGAACTCACTCGGTAGACCAGGCTGGCCTGGAACTCAGAGATCCGCCTGTCTCTGCCTCCGAGTGCTGGGATTAAAGGCGTGCGCCACCAACACACGGCTAAGAAAAAAACTTTTTTTTTTTTTTGGTTTTTCGAGACAGGGTTTCTCTGTGGCTTTGGAGGCTGTCCTGGAACTAGCTCTTGTAGACCAGGCTGGTCTCTAACTCACAGAGATCCTCCTGCCTCTGCCTCCCAAGTGCTGGGATTAAAGGCTCGAGCTACCAATGCCTGGCAGCCAGTGCTCTTAATTGCTGAGTCACCTCACCAATTTTTTTTGTTGTTTGTTTTTTGGTTACTATCTGCAATACTTTCCTGAACTCCTGCTCTTTTAATCTGTCTCCTTGGCTGTACTATATTAGATGTAGCAGCTCAGCGCCCAGTGATGTAAGCACAGCTGGTTTTCACATCTCAGGCAGACCTGGAACTCACTATGTAGCTCTTGCTAGTCTTGACCTTGCCTCCGACTCCCAAGTGCTGGGATTACAGGTGTGAGACGAGTAACTTGGGAACCATGCCCAATTCCCAAGATTGAAAAGCAAAAAAGCACTCAGGCAAAACATAGTATGGAGTTGAGAAAATAAGGGAACGAAGACAAACGTCGGGAGCCAGAAAGCATCACAGCCACATCCTGCCTTTACTGGTCCGTTCGGCAGGTGGCCAGTGACTGTCTGAGGTCCAGCAAGGAAAGAAACCAAAACACATTCAGCCAGTGAGGATGGGTGCTCCCAGGGTGCGAGCACCCTCCAGGCTTTTCAGCGGGCAGGGGAGCAGCCCAGGAATGAGGAGAGACAATACAGCTGCCTTACCAGACACATCTGGTACTCCAGGCGTTTCCGAGCCTCCTCACTGGCTTTCCGCTTCCGGAAGAAGAGGGGCATCCTCCTGTGTGAGTTCTGGACCCTGGAACATGAGAGGGAAGTCGGCACCTGGGAACCTGAACCGTATCTGACACTGCAGACAGGCACCTCAGAAATGCAGCTTGCTGTCGGCTGGGAGTTCCTGGCAGCAGGGCAGTCCGCCTCAGCTGGGCCCTGGACCCACACAGCAATGCCCAACACTCTGGTGTTTGTTGAGGAAGCAGTACACACAGAGTATGACAGAAAGGGCACACACGCAGGCAGCGCCCTGGGTTTCGCTCGTTTGCCACTGAGCCTCTGGGAGGCTTTGGCATCACCCTCCCTCCCATGCTGAACCATTTCCTCTCCTTAGGGATGGTTCCCCCAGGTGCCGTCCACGGACTCTTGACAGATTCCACTGATGAAACTATCTGTAAGAGTGGCAACAGCAAGAACCGGAAGGCACCACGACTTAGGGGAAACTCAACCATGTCAAGACTAAAGAGATCGGTGAGTTAAATAAAAATTAAAATGCAATCTTCAGGTACCTTCCCACCCATGAAGCTACTGCTCATTTGATTCTCACTACGGACCTGTGGAGAATATGATGCCCACTAAGTTCAGTGGTCTGGCTATATGACCTGGATTACAAAAGAACCAGCCTGGGGAGCGGGGACTGGAGAGATGGCTCAGAGGTTAAGAACACTGGTTGCTCTTCCAGAGGTCCCGAGTTCAATTCCCAGCAACCACATGATGGCTCACAACCATCTTTAATGAGATCTGGTGCCCTCTTCTGGCCTGCAGACACTCATGTGGACAGAACACTGTCCACATAATAAATAAATCTTAAAAAAAAAAAAAAAGCAGCAGCCTGGGATGCTTGCCCTTCAAGTCCTGATCCCATGAAGTTTGTGCAGCTCCCTGGGTTACATAGTGCAGCAAAGTTAACCATCTGTCCTAACTCTGAAGCTGGGTACCCATAGTCAGCCCAGAGTCTGGAACTCCCAGTGCTGTGTATCGGCCAGCAACAGGAAGGAAGCAATCATCTGGAGGAAGTGTGGAGCTAACAGCACAGGCTTTGACATCAGGTCACTTTGGGTCACTGGTCAGAGCCTATTTCTTCAAATGTAATATGGAGTAATGTTGCCAATATTGGGGGTCCTGTGGGGCTCAGGGATTTCACGTGTGTCAGGCCCATGCCACAGAACATGACACCACACACATGACAAATAGATTCTGGGACTACCGCAGGTGCCAGGGAGACAGGGACTGGAGGAGTCTTCAGGTGAAGCCCTGGGTGTGGGCTGTCAGACCTGCAAAGCTTGCTCTTCCCTCCCTCACCGGCTAGCACCCCTGAAGAGTGATGGCAAACAGCCCTCCTCCACACGGCTTCCCTTCTGCTCGACAGATAATGACCAGCCCTCCCCCATGCCTATCCTCCAAGTGCAGACTTCCAAGTCTTCTCCAATGACTACCCCCACCCGCCAAGTCATTTCCCTAGTCATTCTCAACAAGGGCTCTTTCAAATCTGGTTTGAACCTCTCTGATGGTGTAGCTTGGTTGGGAGAACCACACCCATCCTTCTCAGGCAGGCTGACCAGTGGCTGACCTGCTTTGCGGATGGAAAGGTCCTCGGATGTTCCAATTTTGGGGAGGACATCAAGACAGGCCAGTCACTCTGAAGGCCTGGTCATAGATGCAGACCAGAGGCACCAGCAAGACGAGCTGGAGTTGGGTGTCCTTCAAACACAGGATGCGAGGACCGAAACTCCTAATCTCATAAAGTCACGCAGCTCAGAAACACAGTCTTGAGAGTCTAGAAACCAAGGAATTGCAGAATTAAGAATCGCGATATAGCCCCGAATAATTTGCTCGTATATACTAACATGCATACACCGCAAACGAGTAAGAAGGGCATTAGGGGTACTGGGGTCCCGCAAGACAGGTGCGGATTCCTTAGGGGAGGGGCGGGGTCCTGGGACTCCAGAGTCACCCTCATGAAAAGGGAACGTGGAATACGTCTGGAACCAGGACCTCTGCGGTAGCCCTTCTACTCTGCCTGTCCCCGAGAAATATGCTCCGAACATCTACCCCTTCCGAATCCCTAGCTCACCCAAGAAACCGGCTCGCCGGACCTCTGCCGCAAACGCCTGCCCACAATAAACAGGGCGGCGAGGGCGTCGCCCCGAGACGGGGCGGAGCCGCAAGTTATCGCGAGCGCCGAGCTTTTCTGCCTATATCCGGTGTGGGCGGGCCGACGGCAGTCTTTTCGGCTTTCGGCTCGGAGGAGGCAACGGTGCAACTTTCCTCGGTCGTCCCGAATCCGGGTTCATCCGACACCAGCCGCCTCCACCATGCCGCCCAAGTTCGACCCCAACGAGGTCAAAGTCGGTGCGTGCCCTCGCCGCGGCCGGGCAGCGGGTGGAGCCGTCCCCGCCGCGTGCTGCCCCGGGGCTCCGGGCCTGGCGGGTCTCCCTTGGGCCTCGGCCTCCTCGTGCGTAACGGGGAGGGAGCACCGACGCTCTTGCAGCCCGTGCGCCTTAGGGTAAGGCCTGGCCCGGGGGGCTGCGGCCCGCACCGCACGCGCTCCGCGGGGGCTCTAATTCTGCTTTTTCTCAGTGTACTTGAGGTGCACCGGAGGTGAGGTCGGCGCCACGTCCGCCTTGGCCCCCAAGATCGGTCCCCTGGGTCTGGTAAGTCCCGCTCCTGCGGTTCGTCAGTCTGTGTGCTGTGTGTGTGCATGCGGAGGTCAGGGGAAGGCTCCTTTCGTGAGCCCCCTGCGGTGTGCGAGCTGGGACTCGAACCCGGGTCCTCTTTTAAGGGTTAGTGTGCGTACAGGCGCAGTCGTGGCAGCCATTGGTCGGGCTTGGCCGAGCTGCCTTGCGGGCTCTTGCCTGTGGGTTTTTTTTAAGAGGAAGCTGGCGTTGCCGCGTGCTCCCAGCTGGAGCCGGTGACTGGCTGTGCTTTTGACCGAGCGCCCTCGTAGGTGGGTGGCCCGTTACAGCGTGGTCTGCTGTGCTCTCGCGGTCTTTCAGACAGTTGCTTAGTTAAATAAGGTGTGGGCAGGGTCACGTGGAGTGAGGAGGAGGCCTGGAGGAGCCCTGCCAGCTTTGGACACGCCGTGATTGAATGCAATTATTTCTACAGTCCCCGAAGAAAGTTGGTGATGACATTGCCAAGGCGACCGGTGACTGGAAAGGCCTGAGGATCACGGTGAAGCTGACCATCCAGAACAGACAGGCCCAGATTGAGGTGGTGCCCTCTGCCTCCGCCCTGATCATTAAGGCCCTCAAGGAGCCACCACGAGACAGAAAGAAGCAAAAGAACAGTGAGTTGATAGCACTCCCCGGCCCCCTCCAGTGGTTGCTACTTGGCACGTGGTTCCCTTAAATGAAACTTAAGTCAGAACGGGATGACTTGAGGCCATTTTGTTCATGACTCCTGGTGCAGAAGTGTAGAGTCATGCCTAGGGTTGTGGCACTGAACCCTTTGCCCCAGGGGTTTAAACTCGATCTAATGTCGTGTGTCGGGGCTGCTGGTGAGGTCTTGCTGGTGCCCTAGCCACCCGCCACTGCACCTGACCAGTATGGTTGGCTGGTGCAATCCAGTGGTGAGCTAACAGTAAGCCCCAGCTTTAGGAAACAGGGTTGTCCTACATGTGGATGACTCTGTGCCGAAAGCATGGGGACAGCGTAGAAATGGGCGAAGTGAAACCATGGGGTCAGAAGATTGCACAAGAAGCCTTTAAAGCATAACCCCTCTGCTTCTTTCCTGCAGTTAAACACAGCGGAAACATCACTTTTGATGAGATTGTTGGCATTGCCCGGCAGATGCGACACCGATCTTTGGCCAGAGAGCTTTCTGGTAAGAGCATTTTCACTGACTGGCTAGCATTCGCTGAAGGTCAAAATTGGAGTGCTCTTTCGCGGGGGGGGGGGGTGGTGGTCTTTGTAGCCTTGGCTGTCCTGGAACTCTAAACCAGACTGGTAAATTTAAGTTGGGTACCATGGAAACACGTGGAGCCATGGTTTGTTTTTTGTCTGCAATGGAACTCTGGAATTTCCTTTGTCCCTCAATGTAATAGTTGGTGGCACACGCCTTTAATCCCAGCACTTGGGAGGCGGAGGCAGAGGCAGGCGGATCTTTGAGGCCAGCCTGGTCTACAGAACTGAGTTCCAGGAGAGGCTCAAACAACGCAGAGAAACCCTTCTGATGCTACCATTCTTAATACAGGAACTATTAAAGAGATCCTGGGTACTGCACAGTCTGTGGGCTGCAATGTGGATGGCCGCCACCCTCATGACATCATTGATGACATCAACAGTGGTGTCGTGGAGTGCCCAGCTAGTTAAGCAACAAGAGAAAATACTTCAATAAAAGACTTGTGATAACCAGTGGTCTTGACTGTTTTGGGCAGGGGATGTTCAAATCTGGAGCACCGCTCTGGTGTGGGTGGCTTTGTGGGCAGGCTCAGAAGACAGCCTGGAAGGAAAGGTGCTTTGCTGGGGTGTGGTTAAGTTGCTCTGGAGAGTCTGCAGCAATCACTAGCCCCGAACCTCTTAACTAGCACTAGGGAAGGTTCCTTTTGTGAATTTCTCAAACTTCACAAGTCAGTAGTACAGCACAGGTATCTGATTAATGGTGACTTTATTTTGTGTTTTACATATGCTGAGCCCACGACGGTGACTCAAGACAAATATGTCTTAAGTCAAATTTGCAATTCGTCAGGGACCCACACAGCCTCCCTAGGGAACAGAAAGGGTGGAGTTGTTGGGAGAGAAAATGAGGTTTGCTGCCTGGGTGCTCATGCTGTGGGTCAGTTTTTCAAATTCCCTCCAATGTTCGGGTGTAGAAAAATGGGCTGGTAGAGCACTGACTGCTCTTCCAGAGGACCTGGATTCAATTCCCAGCACCCATATGGCGGGTCACAACTGACTAGTTCCAGAACATCAAATAATACAAAGTGAAAGGGGCCGGGCGTTGGTGGCACACGCCTTTAATCCCAGCACTCGGGAGGCAGAGGCAGGCGGATCTCTGAGTTCGAGGTTGGGCTGGACCGACAGCCTCCAAAACAATACAGAGAAACCCTGTCTCGTAAAAACCAAAAAAAAAAAGCCCACATTCAAGATGGCTGCTTTTTTTGGCCTCAAATTCAAGATTGGAGTGGCTGCTCTTGTAGAGGGTCTGGGTTCACTTCAACACCCTTTTCTGGCCTTGTGCATCTGTACACATGTGGCACACATGTATGCTCAGGACATGGATGCATAGCACATGCTAATACGCCTTCACACATTAACTTTGCATACGTGTTAATTGCAGCAGTGCTCATAACTACCTATAAATGGTTGTAACAGTGTCCATTCACTGAGGAATGCACAAAATGTGATGAGTATACATGCGATGTTCAGTCGGAAAGAGAACTGAAGTGTTGACACAGGTGAAAACATGAATGGATCCTGAACATGCTAATTAGTTAGACAATGTCAAGTGTGGTATGAATCATCTATGTAAAATGCTCCCAGCAAATCCAGACAGTAAGTCGAGGAACTCGGGGTCTGTGGAGTGAATACTAATAGATGGACGTGTTCTGGAATTAAATAGTGGCTATATAACTACATAAAAATACTGCACAAACCACTGAATGTTAAGAGTCACCTTCAGAAGCATAAAACGACTATGTGTGACTTAATATGAATAAACGAGGTCAGAACTGGTCTATTGCTGATGTGCACCTAGCCCTACTTACTGTACGCTGTCGTCTTTGTGGCACAAGGACAGTCCCATTTGGTGTGTGTTCCAAGTGCCTTCAGACGCTATTTCACCTGGTTACAGTCCTTGAGACATGGAGAGTAGCTAAGCTATGTTTTCTACAGGGAAACCCAGGGTAAGACATCTGCCTTCCGACAGCACATTCCTGTCTAGGAAGTCATTGCTACTGCCACGAGGCTGAGCCTGCCCTGCAAGTGCCCCATGTTCCAAGCCTCCCTCGCTGGCTGCTTCCCCGGGGCGGAAGGCTAAAGTCCCATCTCCCTCCCGGCACTGGACAGCAGGCAGTGGGTACGCAGAGGTCGCTCGGGTCGGGGGCCCTTAAACTCCGCAGATCCCACGGCTGTCTGCTCACACCGCTGGTGGAAAGCGTTCTGGTCGGGGCTGCTGCGCATACCGGTGGGCACGCTGACGCCGCTGCCAGAGAGCAAATCCCGGGACGTGCGCGTCCCTCGCCCCAGCCACCGCCTCAGAAGCAGCGCGACGGCCTCATTCCCCGGCAGGCGGGCGCGCCCCAAGTGCGCCACTTCCGGCCACGCGCAGTCCGCACACCGGAACCCACTTCTAGCCAGTCTGTGTGCCCGCTCCCCTGTGGTCTCTTCCCGGCCTCCAGACTGGCCCAGCTGCCTCGGGGGCTGTGTTTTACACAGAGGCTCCCGCGTGCCCGTCCTTGCTTCTAGAGTCCGCATCTTCCGGGTGCACAGGATCCGGACGTGGAGCCTCGGACGGGCGGACCGGGCCGCCAGGGATGCCGCGACGGGCGCTCGTGCTGCCCGTGGGCGTTTCAGTGGATTTCCCCACGGAGCAGAAGCCATTTCTTCTTCTCAGGCACGTTTGTGGTGGAGCGCGCTCCGGGATGCTCAGGAGGGAAGAACTACCAGTTCAAGAAAGCTGCCTGGACCACACCTGCTGCTGACCTGCCATGCTCCGCGGGCAGGATGAGCTCCGGAGCCCAGGGAGTCCTCGTTTTCCCTGCTTGGGATCCTGGCAGTCCGAAGAGTGTCACTCCTAGGAGGCTGTAACTCCTGTAAGGGCCACTGGTCTTTAGCAGGTTTCCTGTCTTAGTCCTGTGATCTCTTCTGTCGCCAGGCGGTAGCAGAGTGCTTCAGGTGACATGACGTCATTCGCATGCGGCTCCGGGGGTAGGGGCTAGGCCACTCCTGCGCTCTGCAGAAACCAGGACTTGCCCACGTTGTTCTGGGGATGGTAATGTGGATGCGGGAAGGGGTAGCTGAGATTTGTGGGTAGTGCAGGTTTCTTCCCGGCCTGCATAAAGCTGTGTCTCCGCGCCTCTCCTCCGGGGATGGCCGTCTTCTCCTCTCCATGACTTTGTTCTTACGGTGTTGACCTGGGCTCTTGAGTGTGTGTGTGGGAGGGGGGGGGGGGCAGGACTGCTTGGAGCTGCCTCTTACTTAGCCTCTCAAAATTTATACTCTGGGGGGGAGGGTTCCAGAGACCAAGGAGACCTAAGGGAATGTATGGGCCCCTAAAGCACTGGCATCTAGAAGTGGGCGGTGGCAGTTAGCCAAGCTACAGTCATCCTTTGCAAGGACCAGTGTGGCTGAGGATGGGTGGCCCGAGCAGACAGTGGTGTAGGCAGACCGCTTGTTCAGTCCCTTGGTGAGATAGCTTCCCAGTCATAGCCATGTCTGCAAGTGCCTGAGCTCCTGCTCCATGGCCTTTGCTGCTGACTCCCTGAGGACTGGCTTGGTCACAGGGATCCATCCTGTGAAGGCTCCAGACAGCATGTATTCTCTGTTTCCTCCTTCGTGAGCCTCATTCATCTATCAGGGTTTCCTTCTCCATCCATCCCTGCCGTTGTCCTGTGTCCCCTTGTATTCCCATCCATTCTTCCCTGTTTAAAATGAGTCTACATGTGACACCTGAATTCTCAATAAACAGACTGGAAACGACCTAAATGTGGAATATGGATTGATTTAAAGATTTATTATGTATATAGTGTTTTGTCTGCATGTGTGCCTGCACTCCAAAAGAGGGCACCAGATCTCATTATAGGTGTTTGTGAGCCACCATGTGGTTGCTGGGAGTTGAATTCAGGACCTCTGGAAGAGCAGGCAGTGCTCTTAACTTGAGCCATCTCTCCAGCCCTTAAATTCTATATTTAATATAGTAATATACAAGGAATAATTCTACAGCCAGCAAATATCTGAGCATCTGCCAGGTACAGTGTAATTACAGGTACTGATGGTGAAGTAAATATACACACTTATCTCCATTCCTTCCCTTTCAAATCCCACTGAAATGATGTTGGAGGTGCATAAATAGAAACAAGTCTATAGTTGCATCAGGGAGGTGTATGTGTGTTGAGTTAGGAAACTTACACCAGGTACTGTAACACAGCCTGTGGTTCTTCAGTCCTAAGCATAAGCATGGGCAAAACATGCCAGATGTGTGAGATCTGGGCTAAGATAACCAGATCAACTCATCGGAGGAGAAATCAGAAAATGGAAGACTGCTTTCAAAAAGTTAGAATCTATAGCTTGCCTCATAACAGTGAATAAACTTCAAGGACACGGAGCCCCTGCTGGGGTGGATGGGGAACACGGGGCCCCTGCTGGGGTGGATGGGGAACCTGGGGCCCCTGCTGGTGTGGAAGGAGAACACGGGAGCCCCTGCTGGTGTGGATGGAGAACACGGGGCCCCTGCCGGTGTGGATGGGGAACCCGGGGCCCCTGCTGGTGTGGATGGGGAACCCGGGGCCCCTGCTGATGTGGATGGAGAGCACGGGGCCCCTGCTGGGGTGGATGGGGATCATGAGTCAAAGTAGCTTCTAAGCTCAGCAATTCCACTCCACGAACAAGATGTGTCTGCGAATGTGTAGCAATGGGGCTCCACGCCCCCAATAATAGCCCCAGCTGGAAGTAGCTCAGTGTCCACTGACAACCTTCTCAGAAACAGGAAGTGAAGTGTTGATGCACCTAACCACATACATGAATCCAAAAGGTGCTATGCTACATTTAAGAAGCCAGGCACAAAGGCCTCAAAGTATGACTACGCCTTTATGAAATTCTATGGAAGCCCAGCAGAGAGCACAGGCCACTGGTTCCCAGGGTCATAGATGCAGGGAGGTGACACTGCACAGGGATATGGAAGTGTCCTGTCCTTGAGTGTGGTGGTGGCTCATGACTACAGTTTGCTCTAAGTCATTAGATTTTATAAGTATTGGATTCTGTTTAGGTAAGTACTACCTCACTCTGGTTTTCTTTCTTCTTTCCTTCCTTCCAAAGACAGGGTTTCTCTCGTTAGCCCCGGCTGTCCTGGAACTCACTCCACCTGTCTCTGCCTCCCTAGTGCTGGGATTAATGGCCTGAACCAGTATTTTATCTGATTTTCAAATGGTGGAAATGTATATCCTTAGAAAAAGCATTCCTTCCCTTCAACAGCATAGAATGCCAGAAGAAGGCGTAGACAGGAAGAAAGCGTAAGTGCTGGGGAGATGGCCCAGCCAGTAAAGAGCTTGCTCTGCAGCCTGAGACCTGAGGTTGGATCCCAGCACCCACATGGAAGCTGGATATGGTCACTGCTCAGCAGCAGCGGCATTTCTTGAGTCTCGTGCTTCCTCTTGGCTGGAGTCGCATTGTCAGCACTCCTGGGCCTCCAGCTTGCTGACTCAAAGCAGATCCCAACCTTCTCAGCCCCTTGCAACATCTGTACACCCGTCTCTCTGTACACCCGTCTCTGTACACCCGTCTCTCTGTACACCCGTCTCTCTGTACACCCATCTCTACACCCGTCTCTCTGTACACCCGTCTCTCTGTACACCCATCTCTCTGTACACCCGTCTCTGTACACCCGTCTCTGTACACCCATCTCTACACCCGTCTCTGTACACCCATATGCACTCTGGGTTTGTTTCTCTGGAGAACCCCGCCTCATCCAGGAGACCCGGACCACCTAACAGCTTACTCAGCTTATGTGATACTCATAGAAGAGTATGTCACCACACAAAAGCTGACTGCGGTTCTGGGTTCTGTTACCAGGAGCTGGGCGTTGGTGGCACACACCTTTAATCCTAGAACTCAGGAGGCAGAGGCAGGAGGATCTCAGTGAGTTCAAGGCCAGCCTGGTCTACAGAGCGAGTTCCAGGACAGCCGGGGCTACACAGAGAAACCCTGTCTCAAAAAACCAAAAGAAAAAAACAAGAATCCTCACCATGAGAGAGTGTGGTCTCATAACCCTCAATAAGTTGAAAAGGATTAGAATTGCTTTAAAGAATGATGTCAAAGCAAATATTTGTAGAAGATAAAGTGAAATAGAGCACAGAGCAAAGACAAAAAAGGGAGCATCAGCGAAAGCAGGTGTGGTTTGCATGCCTGGAATTCCACACCCGGGATTACAGCGCTCAGGCTGGTAGGATCACCTGAGTGACCTGAGCTACACATTAAGTTTTAGGGCCAGCCCGGACCTGCTACAGAGCAAGAACTTGTCTCTGTATCTTCCCAGTAAAAAGAATGAGAAAATGAGAAAAAGCATCAACCAGGAAGAATAGCTGTCTGCTAGACAGCCAGGACAGAGCAGGAATGACATCTACTAGACGGCCCCGACGGCAGGAGAACGGCACACACCAGACAGACGGTCCCGACGGCAGGAGAACGGCACACACCACACAGTCCCGACGGCAGGAGAACGGCACACACCAGACAGACAGTCCCGACGGCAGGAGAACGGCATACATCAGACGGCCCCGACGGCAGGGGAACGGCACACACCAGACAGACAGTCCCGACGGCAGGAGAACGGCACACACCAGACAGACGGCCCCGACGGCAGGGGAACGGCACACACCACACAGTCCCGACAGCAAGGGAGGACAGGGAAGCCAAGGGCTGGGGCAGGAAAAGCAAGAGATAAGAGATGGACTACAGAGTGGACTGTCCCCAAAATAAAGTCACAAACAAAAATAGGTTTACAGTTACATTCTTTCTGGCTTATCTTTCAATTACCAAGACCATGAAAGCTATAGCAGTGTTGTACCCGCAGGGCTAACTGGCGATAGTGGGCCTTAACGGACACTGGGGGCTGGCAAGGATGCTTACTGAGTAAAGGCCCCTGCTGCAAAATCTGGCCGTCTGACTTCAATCCCTGGGACAAAAGCTGTCCTCTGATCTCTACATGGGAACTATGACACAAGTGCCTCACCATAAATGTAAAAAACAAACAGAACCGACACCAGGGCCTGGGGCAGGAGTGCTCTGTTCGGTAAAGCGACTGCTGGGCAAGCATGAGGACCTGAATTGAGATCCCAGCGCATCCACAGGAAGCCAGCTGCGAGGGAGGGCTGGCGAGACAGCTGGGGGGGGAAGGCAGTGCTGTCCAGGGTCCCAGGAGCCGTGTGGTGGAGGGAGTGAGCCAACTCTGACCTTCCCATATGTGCTGTGGCTCACACAGTCCACAGAATAAATCAGATTCAGTCCTTAAAGCTGGGCGGGGCTGCATGTGTCTGGTGGGAGGGGCAGACACGAGGATCCCAGGGCCTTGCAGGCCAGTCCACAAACTTCAGGTTCTGTGACCCTGTCTTGAGTTCTGTTCCCAGCCCCCACATCAGGCAGCTCACAACTGCCTGTAATCACATCTCTAGAGGGTCAAATGCTTCTGGCCCCTATGGGGTGGGGTGGGGGTGGGGTACATGCACTCTATGAAGATTTCAGCAAGTTAAATGGGCTCCAAGCCAAGGAGAAAGAAATATTTGGATTAACCCAACTTCTCAAGTTGGTCAACCTGGGATACTAATATGTTTTAGGTTAGCCCAGGTTACATCATGAACCACTATCATAAAAATAAAATAAAATCCGGCCGGGCAGTGGTAGCACACGCCTTTAATCCCAGAACTCAGGAGGCAGAGGCAGGTGGATCTCTGTGAGTTCGAGACCAGCCTGGTCTACTGAGCAAGTTCCAGGACAGGCTCCAAAAAATACAGAGAAACCCTGTCTCGAAAAAACAAAAACAAACAAACAAACAAACATAAAATAAAATCCACTTGAAGTAGAAGCAAGCGGATTTCAGTGAGTTCAAGGCCAGCCTGGCCTACAGAGGACAGTCAGGGCTGTTACATAGAGAAACACTGTCTCAAAAAACAAAACAAACAAAAGAATCAGCCAGGTGTGGTAGTACACACCATTAATCTCAGCAGTAAGATCCCTGTATCTACATAGTGGATTCCAGACCAGTAACAGGTATAGTCTTAAACAAACAAAAAATCAAAAGGGTTTCACTAACAGCTAACATAGTGCATAGGACTAGTTAATAGGATGCTGGAGACCTTTTTTAAAAAATAATTAACAGCCGGGCATTGGTGGCGCACACCTTTAATCCCAGCACTCGGGAGGCAGAGGCAGGCGGATCTCTGTGAGTTCGAAGCCAGCCTGGTCTACAGAGCGAGTTCCAGGACAGTCTCCAAAGCTACACAGAGAAACTCTGTCTGGAAAAAAACAAAAAACAAAAAAATTAACTTGGGGCTGGAGAGATGGCTCAGAGGTTAAGAGCACTGACTGCTCTTCCAGAGGTCTTGGGTTCAATTCCCAGCAACCACATGGTGGCTCACAACCATCTATAATTCAATCTGGTGTATATGTAATAAATAAATAAAATTTTTTTTGGCTTTTCGAGACAGGGTTTTTCTGTGGCTTTGGAGGCTGTCCTGGAACTCGGTCCAGGCTGGTCTCGAACTCACAGAGATCCGCCTGCCTCTGCCTCCCGAGTGCTGGGATTAAAGGCGTGCGCCACCAACGCCTGGCTAATAAATAAATCTTAAAAAATAATTAACTTTATGTGCATTGGTATGAAGGTATCAGATCCATTGGAACTGGAGTTAACAGGCAGTTGTGAACCTGTTTCAGTGAGTTCAGGCTGGCCTTGAACTCACAGAGATCCATCTGCCCCTGCCTCCCAAGTGCTGGAATTAAAGGCATGTGCCATCAACACCGGGACTGATGTTTCTTTTTCCAGACAGGGTTTCTGTTTAACAGCTCTGGTTGTCCTGGAACTCACTTTGTAAACCAGTGTAGTTCAAGGCAAGCCTCAAACTCAAAGATCCAACTGCCTCTGAGTGCTGGGATTAAAGATGTGTGTCACCATCGCCCGGCAAGCCTGCTGTTTTGAATAGCTGACCTTGAAGAGTGGGTGTCAGAGGGGAGCCTCATGACAGAGCCAGTCTTACTGGGGCTTACCTCTGGAAAGGGGCAGTTTTCCCATGCAAGAGCCTAGCAGATCACTAGCAGCTAACAAGTCTCACCAACCCGACCTCCAGTGAGTATGCACTGATCCATGATACAAGGGCCCTGAAAAGACTTCTGGCTCCATTAAAGTCCAACAGAAAGAGGTTTTTTATTTTCTGAAACTCAACAAGATTTGGTGACTAATGACCCGGACACCGAGCCCAGGAAAAGTGATGGGTAAGCTGGCCGGCTGACCCCACAGTGATCCACAGGACCTCTGGGCAGGGCCGAGGAGGGCGGGTTTGGTTAGGTTGACTAGAATATTCTCTTCTCCACCTGGGCTCACTCAGAGAGGTCACAGTCTTGTTTCTGAGCCCAACTTTTATGTGGCCAAATTCCTTTCGGATCCCACAGTCAGGTGGGAGGCACAGGTGGGTGCTTAGGACCCAGGATCCAGAAGATCCCCGGCCAGAAAACAGGATACAGGAGCCATCATGTCAGTTCAGATGCTTTAGTCTGAGGAAGGAGACGCGTGCCAGGCACGACTGCACAGCTCCTCAGATGTCCTGTGTGTGCTGCAGGCCGCAGAGACTAGACCCAGAATCTGGTGAACCTCGTACCCCTGGACAAGGAGGGGCTCTGAGGCCTGAGGAGTCAGGGGCTCCAGGCTCAAAGTGAGGCGTGGCTCAGCTACAGGCCACTCGACTCCTTCTGAAACCCAAAGCTAGCCCAGCTCAGGGCTGCCAGTCACAGAAGGGGCTGTCATCGTCCCTCGAAATGGGCTGTGATCTGTTCCAGAGTCCGGCCTTTAGTCTCAGGGACGAAGGTCAACGTGAAGAGGACGCTGAGGATGCAGAAGGCAGCGGTGAGCCAGAAGGCACCGTAGGGCCTGAGGATCTCCTGCAGGGAAGAAAGGTCAGAAGACCCCACAATCCCGAGCACCCTGACTGCAGCTGCCTGCCAGGCCTGTCCTGTCTCTGGAGACCCAGCTGAGTGGATGATAGCTTCCTGCCACCCAAGGTGATGTGTGTCTGGGAAACTGAGGCTGAGACCAGGAATGTCAAAGGATGGCTACTTTCCTGCTTCTGGGCATCCCAGGCTTGCCGCCCTCATGCCTACATCTTTGGCCCCACCCTCTGGTGTCCGGCTACTGTGAGCTCTCTGTGTGGCGAGGACGGGGAACTGTTACTCTTGAGAGGGTGGGAGTGAGTCTGTGACTTCGCAGGTGGCAGAGCTCAGTCCTCACTCCTCAGTTCTTGCAGGGGAGGACACCGGTGACCTCCTTTCAGCTCTGTGACAGGATGTCCCCTCCCCAGGTCCTTTGCTGTCTGCTCCCTCCCACAGTCAATGGTGAGCCTCTGCTCGCCTTCCTCTGGGCTCCCTGGCCATCCTGTGTGCCACCCACCAGGCCCGGGCATGGCACATGCCAGGAGACACGGAGGACACCAGCGACTGAACAGATGGCCTGCCTGTCGGCACCAGAACCTCCTCTCTAGTGGCTAGGAAGCTGGCAGGCAGCAGCCCCGCAGTGTCAGCTACTAAGAGGGAAACAGTGCTGTCTGGGCTGGAGGGAGCCACCCTGCACTTCTAGGTCAGGGCCATGTTGAGAGGTTAAGCAGCACACGAGGCACACACAGGGAAGTAGCCTTTCTCTCTCTCTCTGTGCGTATGTGTCTCAGAGCCCAGCTCTGTCCATTTTTATATATCATGGGCTTCTGGCCTGTGTTCCTGACATTCACTAGTGGGGAAGGCCGGCCATGTTATCCTCGCCCCAGCACAGACTGAAGACATAGGGGATCATTTGGTGTAGCCTCCTGCTCCATGTCACCCCTGAGGAGGCACTGTCCCAGCCTTTAGGGAACCTCAGCCTGTACTCAGGGTCATGGACATGGAACCTCTGGCAATGACATCGTTTTATGAGGTGAGCCTTCGCTGACACGAGGGGAAGGCATGGGTGTGCACTCACCATGATGCTGCTGAACTCTTTTGTCACCAGAAAGGCCATGAACCAGTTGGTGAGGACACAGACACCGGTAGCCACACCCTTGACATGCAGAGGGAAGATCTCGGACATGAGGAGCCAGGGGATGGGTCCCCAGCCCACTGCAAAGCCTGTGGGAGCAAGGCAGTGTTAGGACACATCCTGGGCTCCTACATTACGCTTCCTAGCCTGTGGGCCTTAGAGGTTCCACTAGCCCTTCACCCTGCTGGCTTTTGGCCAGTCCCTTCCCGTTTTAGACTTCAGGACAGGGATGGGACATGCTTGCAAGTTGTCATAGAGATTATGTGAAAGAATTTAGCTCAGTGCCCAGCACATGGTCAGAGTCACATACACAGAAGTCATGCTCCTTGGGGTTGAGGGGCAAAGCCAAGTAAAAGGAGATTTGAAGCTGACTGCTACAGGACTTGGCATGGTGGGCTACAGGGATAGCCCCACCCAGTGTCCCTGGGCCCCTTCTTACCAGCAATGAAGAGGCACATGCTGCCTACAGCCATCCAGGCCAGCCCCACATGGACATCAACGGGCTCCGCAGAGATGGGCACCAGGAGGCCTACATGGGAGGAGTTGCTGGGGCCACTCTCGGTCAGCTTGAAGTAGGCACCAAAGGCGCTCATGCTGAATACCATGACCACACCTGCAGGCAGGGCTCGGGTTAGGCAGGGTGCTGGGGACACGGCTTAGACGGCAGTGTGGCTGCCTTGAGAGAGGAAGGCTGGGTTCAGCAGTCACACCTTGGCCATGGAAGCCCAACGGGACACCCTCCTCCTGTGCTTTGGACCTGACCTCAGCAAATGCTGGGAAGTTCCCAAGTGGTCTGTCACCTGCAGAAGCAGGAGCAGCAACGGCAGAGTTGAACCCACACCCACAGCAGCTTGAGGACAGATGGTCACTTGCTCAAAAGAACTAGTCATACCGTCTCCCTGGCCCTGTGTCCCCATGGTCTAGGGAGGCTGAGCCCTCCCACTCAGGCCTCTTACCCGACAAGGTCAGTAGCAGCCTACGCCCTGCTCTGTCCATTATGAGGGCCGCCACAGCAGTGAACAGGACCTGGATGATGCCCACGGTGACCGAGGCCAGGCTGCTGTCCTGGGAGAGGGGAGAAGCTGGTCTGCTAAAGACAGACAAGTCCCTCCCTCTCTCTCTGGCTAAGCTCTGGGAGGTTAATCCACACGTGGTATGAGGCAGGACAGGATGGGCCCTCTTACCTTGAACTTGGCCTCTTCAAAGATGGTCTCGGCATAGAACATGATGGCATTGACCCCCGACAGCTGCTGGAAGGCCATGAGTGAAATGCCAATGACGAGGGGCTTGTAGACGCCAGGACGCCTCAGCATAGCCAGCTGGAAGCCCTGCCACAAAGATGCCTCGTCAGCACTCCCTCCCCTCACCCAAGGACCCTTCTATGAGCCCAGAAGCCTACATGGAGGGAATGAACCTCAGCTTGCTGGCCCCACCCCACCTGTGGCCCTGAGTGTGCCGATGGGTCCCTCAGCCTGCTCGTGTGGGGGGCTGAAGTAGGGGTGGGGGGGAGGATGGGGGAGCTCGCACTTCAGCACTCGGGTGAAGAATCCTGTACCCGAGAGTCAAGCACTTTGGTGTGTTCAGGGCTTGCCTCCAGCTGGGAGAGGCAGAGTACCTCCTGCAGCCATGTGCGTGGACCTCAGCATCACCGTGAGGTAAGGACTTCCTTCTACAGATGAAACAGCCAAGTCTCCAAGATGGCCAGGTCACACAACTGCAAAGTGTCTGCATGCCACTGACCCTGAAGACGCCCCCGCCTGTGGTTCCTATTGGGTGAGGCCCTCACCCATTTTCCCGAGTGCCTGCCCTTTTGCTTCTTGGGACGCTAAGTGGGGCTCCGGCTGGCCCCCACCTGCTCAGACAGGGCACACGGGTCCGTCCTCACTGAGGGTGGAGGGTGCTGCCACTCAGGTGTGTAGCTTTGGGAACAGGCTATGCTCTCTGTCCTGCTCAGCCTCTCACCTGGTGCTCAACCCCAATGGGGGGCTCTTCCCAGCCCTCCTCGGAGCCCCACAGGAACCGAAGGGCAGCCATGGCCTCCTGGTGCTGGTGTCGAGTCAGGAGGAATCGTGGGGTCTCAGGCATACAGCACATGAGCAGCAGCATGAAGGTGGGGGGCACACAGCCCAGCACGGCCAGCCAGCGCCACTCTAGGACCCAGCCTGCAACGGCAGATGTCAGAGCCAGCGGGGGGCAGCCTAGTCCCCTCGCCAGCCCTGGGACTCGCTCCAATGGTAGGCACATCACGGCCTCTGCCAGCTGCCTTCATGTTGGCTAAAGAGACTGTTGCTACTAGGAATGTTCCACCAGGACATCATTAGGTGACATCTATTAAGGGAAATACAGATGGACCACACATAAGATGTAACCAGCTGAAAGATGTCCATTGTCAAGCCATGTCTGGTAGCCATGGTAACATATCAAAGTGTACTGTCATGGTATTGCTGACGTAAACCAAATGTTGTGCTCTCTGTCATGTCAAGGCATGGACACCGCAAAGAAGTTGACAATGGTTAGAAAGGGCTGCTATTGCTTTGATGTACTTACCTGTGTGAGTGTGTGCGTGTATGCACTCATGCATGGATGTGGAAGCCAGAGGAAGGCATTGGGTGTCTGCTGCTGTCCACCTTATTCCCTAGGCAGGGTCTTCTACTGGGCCTGGAGCTAGGCGGTGGTCAGCAGGCCCCAGCATTCTCTCTCTGCCCTGCCACAGCTTTTTATGTGGGCTCTGGAGATCTGAACTCACGTCTTCATGCTGGGGCAGCAAGATCTTCTACTTTCTCAACTATTTCCTAAGCCCTATGTTACACTTTTATCATGATTTTACTACGTTATTCAACGGTTTTGTGTGTGGTAGTGTGAATGAGAATGGCCCCTACATGCTCCCATGTGTGAACACCTGGTCCCCAGTGGGTGGAACTGTTTGGGAAGGAGTAGGAGGTGTGGCCTCAATGGAGGAGGTGTGTCAGTGGGACAGCTTTGAGGTTTAAATGTCCTTGCCATTCCCAGTTAGTCAGCTCTCTGCCACTGCACCAGTGCCATGCTGACCTGCCTGCCGCCACGCTCCTTACACGATGGCTTTATGAGTTGTCTTTTTTTTTTTTTTTTTTTTGGTTTTTACTAGACTGAGTTTCTCTGTATTGTTTTGGAGGCTCTCGGTCCAGCTCGGCCTCGAACTCACAGAGATCCGCCTGCCTCTGCCTCCTGAGTGCTGGGATTAAAGGCGTGCGCCACCACCGCCCGGCTATAAGTTGTCTTAATCATGGCGTTTTGTATAAAAGTAACTAAGCTGGGCATGGTGGCGCACACCTTTGATCCCAGAACTCAGGAGGCAGAGGCAGGCAGGTATCTATGTTTGAGGCCAGCCTGGTGTATAGAGTGAGTTTCAGGACAGCCAGGGATACACAGAGAAGCCCTGTCTTGAAAAACTAAGAGGAAAGAAAGGTGCATGCATGATGCATGGTACAGCGTGTGGAGGTCAGAGGACAGCCTGAAGGAGGCAGTTTGTTGTAGCAATAAGGCTCCACAAATACTGTTTCACAAGGCCTGAGACTGAGGCATTACTGTTCCCACCATGCCACCTTTTGTTATTACAGTCACCACATACCAGGGGTCAAAGGGAGAGAACCAGCTCCATGTGATGAAGATGCATGGAGGTCACACCGTGGCTGAGGGACACTGACTGTCTCCACACCAGAGTCAGCACCTTTTCTAGTGGGGACTCTGGCTCACTGCAGGGCTCCTGAGGCAGCCAGGCTGCAGGGAAGACCCCGAAGAGCCAGGGCCATAGAGGCGTTAAAAGCGACTGAGACCACTGTGGGGACCACTGTGAAGACCCAGTATGTATACCCCAAGCTGGGTATACCACAGCCTGTCAGCCACACCCCACCCCACGGCTCTCAAGCCATCTTTAACGGTTTCCACCGGGGATCAGGTATTTTCCATGTGCGATTACTCTCCTGGCCCTGGACATTTCGGGTGGGCGTGTCAGGGTTGAAGACTGCCGTCTTCCCACCCATCCCTGGAGACAGTTCCTGAAACCGCCACAGGTCTCCAGCTGTGGCCCTCAGGTCTCTGGGAACAAGCCGCCCTCATGAGACACTCCGCTGACCGCGAACACAGTGAGAACGTGCTGAAAGTCCAGCCCTCCCAGTGAGGGAGATGAAGCAGTTCCCTATGCCCGCCCTGCTTGCACTGGAGCGCTCTACTGAGTCCCTCCGCACGCTTAGTGAAGAAACCGTCTGCTCTAGTTCTCGCTGGTGTCACTTACCAGACACACTCCCGCCAAGTTCCCAGGAGAGTGAGCGGGAACTAGTAACTTTGGCTAGTAACACCAGGCAAACTCCTGCCCTCTGCAAACCTATTTCCAAAGTGGTCCCATTAATGGGTATCAAAAGACAGCAAGCAAATCTACCTGCCACATAGGCCAAAAGGATGCCGGTGACCACCATCAACTGCACACAGGAGCCGAGCAGTCCTCGGATGGCTGGGTAGGCAATTTCTGAGATATAGACCTGTGGATAGTTAAGGCGAGACTTCACTTGCGATCTTTAAACAGCAGGGTCTAACTATACTGCCGCAGAGTGACACCCCATCTTCTGCAGTTTTAAAGGGGGTTGTGGGTAATAGTTGCTGCTGCGTGTGAGCAAGGGGACACAGAAGTGCACAGAGCTTCCTTATACTCATTTTATTTTTTGAGACAGTTTCATGTAGCCCAGGCTAGCCTCCAATGAGCTGAGGATAACAGTGAATTCCTGATCTTTATGTATTTACCCCTCGTGTCCTGGGATTACAGGCATGTGCCACCAGGTCAGGCCCAGTACACGTTTAACATGCACAAATGTGAGTTAGAACAAAAAGACTTCTCCCTGCTGGCCAGCTCCAGGTGCTACGCCAGACACCGGAAGTGCCCTTGTCCAGCCTAAGCCTACCAGGGCTGCCGTCACTTCAGAGCTCAGGGGTCTCTAGGCATCATCCATACTTCTAGATTACTCCGTACCTCATGCTGTGACTAACCCAGGCAGTAAAAAGAAGGAGCAATCGACAGATCTCCCTCTCCTCCAGCAGGTGCAGTGACTGCACATGGGGCCAGAGGTGGGGAAGGGGTGGGTGTCATCCAAGTCTGTGGCCGCAGGCTGCCGGTGACCTTAGTTACCAGGGTCCAACTCTCCCCAGAGACCACGCCTGGACCAGCAGCTTCCGTGCAAAGGCCTCACAACCACCCCAGAAGTTCTACTTCACAGGGGAGCGAACTGAGGCTCACAGAGGAGCGTGCACCCAGGTAAGGGATTCTGGTGTGTGGGCTGCAGCGTGTGTATGTAGCCCTGGGTCAGGGGCTGGCTGCGAGCGGTGGAGGGGGCGAGAAGTCCGGGCTGGGGACAAACCGGCAGAGAACTGCCCTGCTAACATGAAAAAGGGGGATCTAGTCGTAACTGCTAAGCACACAGGGATGCCATCATTTGTAGCGTAAAAGAGACACAGCTAGGGGCAATGCTGGGCGTGAGGCATGGCTTCACTGCTGACCAGCCGCCCCTTGCCGGGCAAGGGTCATCTAGAAACCACTCACCGGTGACACTAGCGAGGCGACTCCGCAAGCTAGGCCAGTGAGGAGGCGGCCTCCGAGCAGCATCCCCACGTCCCGGGCCGCGGTGATGACAGCGAAGCCGGTCACGAAGGGCACGGTGCAGAGCAGGAGGCTCAGCTTGCGCCCCGCACGGTCCACGAGCCAGCCGCCCAGTACGCCCCCTGCCGCAGCGCCCAGGGTCACGATGGCCTGGGGACCCGAAAGGTCTGAGGAGGGGGCCACCAGAGGCCATGGTCCACCATCCCTCCACCCCACGCCCCGCAGCCTCAGAGGAAAGAGAATGAGGAGGACCCTGGGGTGCGGCGGAGAGTGTGGTGGGGAACCCGGGGCTCTCCCGCGGGCTCACCCCAAACCAGGAGGCCGCACTGTCTCCGAGGCGCAGGGCGGGGGGCGCCGTGCGCCGCAGGCTGGGGATGGCGGGCGAGCTGTAGCCGAGCGCGAAGCCGAAGCTGAGCGGGCCCAGGGCGGCGGCGAAGGCGGCGAGGAAGACCCGGCGGCCGCGGGGAACGCTGTGGGTACAAGGCGGGGCGTGAGTGGCGCCGCTGGGCGTGAGGGAGAGGCGGCAGAACCCCGGGGTCCGCACCTAGCGTCCGGCGGCCGCAAAAGCGGCAGAGTCTCCTCGGAGTCCTCGGGCGACATGCTGGTAGCAGCGGAGAGTGGGACCCGCGAACTGTCGCGGCCCCGGCGAGCGCCGCCTCGGCGGCAGGCGTGGCCAATGGGACGCTGGACCCGCCCCCAATCGGAGCTGACCAATGGGAGCACAGAGCCGGTTGCAAAGCTAGCTGCCGCGACCCAGGTGCAGGTTGGGGGCGTTTGTGTGATCGTGGGCACGATTATCCAATTGGAGTGAGGTGTGGGCCTGAAGTCGTGGCCATTAGGACTGAGCTAGCCAATGGAGATGGAGAAGATTGTTTGGGTGTTTTTCAGGTCTTTTTCTTAGTATCTGTTGTGAGGCGGAGGTGACAGAGAGCCTGTGCTGGTCAGACGTAAACTTTTTGAAGTTGGTTTTCTCCTTCCACCACGTGCATTAGGTCGTGCGGATCGAACTGATGTCGTCAGACTTGGGGACAAGCACCTTTACCAGCAGAGTCGTCTCGGTGGCCCATGTTTTGGTGGTTTCATTTGTTTTTAATTTAATTTTTGTTTTTGAGACAGGGTTTCTCTGTGTAACAGCTCTGGCTGTCCTGGAAATCACTTTGTAGACCAGGCTGGCCTCGAACGCACGGAGATCCACCAGCCTCTGCCTCCTGAGTGGTGGGATTAAAGGCGGGCGCCACCATTCTCCCGGCTGTTTTTATTCCTTATTTTTATTTTAAACTTCTTTTTGTGTTAGTATGTTGCTTACATGTATGCATGTAAGTATATATGTATGTATGTATGTATGCCCCAATCGTGCCTGAAGCTTGCGGAGGTCAGATCCCCTGGAACTGGAGTTACAGATTGTTGTGAGCCGCCCTGTACTGGTGTGCTTGGCATCTGGATTTTAGTCCTCTGCAAGAACGAGTGTTCCTAAGCGGTGAGCCATCCTCTCCAGGCCATATATATATATATATATATATATATATATATATATTTTTTTTGTGGATTTGTCTCTCAATGTAGCCTCTACTAATGAGGGAAGTAGTGTAGTGGGTCAGAGACGGAGTCTGTGGGCTGGGTCAAGGCTTCCCATCCTTACTACGGAACTGTTCCTACTTCTGCCTCACAGAGCCTCAGGGTGGAAAGTCTCCCAACAGACTGTCTTGGGCACCTGGTCTTCTCCTTGGTGCTTCTGGGGGCACCTCACCTCCTTTACGAGTGCTACAAAGTCTAGGGCGCTATCAGTTTCCCCATTCCAGAGGCGGGACAGAGTGGAAGTTAGTGATTTCCTTGTTCCCTGGTTGCCCCACTGATGAACCCAGGACTTGAACCTTTATCTTTCTATCTCCCCGGTCTCCTCCTGGTTGTGTGCCACCACTGCTCTCTGCTTAATTGCACTTTGTTGGGCAGCGTTGGTGGCATACATGTAATTCTGGAAAGAACCAGCAGGAGGCACCTAGTCCCTCCCTGCAAGTGGGGGCATAGGCTACCCTCCAGGAGAGTTGTGGGCAGGCTAACCACTCAAATGCCTCGGTACAGTGGTTTGATATTATTGCAGCCACCCAATTGTAGCAACTAGCATTTTCCGATCTTGATCACAAGACGGTCTTCAAAGACAGGCAGCCACCTGTTTGTGCTTGGCTAATGCGTTCTTTCGCTGCTTCATAACTGCCTGCTTCCCATGGGGTGTTAGTCCCTTTGAGCTGGAGGCACTTGGCGTCTGCAGAGCAAAGGCCATGGAGAAACTGCACCTAGACCACGTACTTTGTAGCCGAGCCAGTGGCACAGCAGAGTGACTCATGGGGAAGGGAAGCTGCAGGGACCCCAGCCAGCACCAGGCTTCGGAGCCATGAACACCCACCAACCCCTGGCAGTGGTCTCCCTTCCCACATCTGCCCAGACGTTGTTGCTAGAGAAGCCTCACCCCTTCTTGAATGAGCAAATCACCACCAGTTTGAATCAGGTCCCTCTGCTGCCTCTGTATTTCTCATACCCTTGTCTTTTACTCTGTCATAGTTGGCTTTATTACTGCCCCTCTGGAAAAACCAATACAGGCTGGGATCTCCTCCTGTCTCATCAAGATACAACAACGGCAAAAAGGACAGGAAAAATACAGACTCAAGCTCACTAACTGGTATAACAAGAAAACAGCAGCCAGCCCGGAGCCAGATGTGTGGCACAAGCCTCCCTCCCACTCAGCACCTGGGAGGAGGAAGCGGGAGAATCAAGAGTTCAGGGCCAGCCCTGGCTGCATGAAACTGTCTCAGCCTCCCTCCTCCTAAAACAAAACAGCAAACCCCAGCTGACAGGAGGCACTCAGCCTGCCTCATCGAGGCTCACAGGACAGAGTTCTCTGGGGCTAAGAGAACACAAGGTTCAAATCTTAGTTTCCTTACCTCAGAGGATGATAGGTTGGGAGATGGCTAGCTTAACTAGTGAGTCCTGTCAGATCCTAAGGAGGTCTCAAAAAAGCCAAGTGCTGCTCCCGAGGAACAGCGTCTGTCACACGGAGCTGACAGACAACATCCACAAGCCCCCAGCTCCTGAGAAGAGCCAGAGTAAACCTAATAAAACCGTTGCTGGGGTTGGGATGCAGCATGACGTTGCCTCTAAAGCTACAGACGAGTCCTGTAGGCGCTTTTGGGTCCACGTATCACATGGAACTGAGGTACAGAGGGGGAGGGGAGGGGAGTCCTAATGGCCTGCAAGGAGGAAGGAGCCAAGGCTCTGCCCTCAGACACCATGACGTCAGAAGGCAGAGCTGCTTCCTCATGGGCTGACGATGAAATTTCTTTCCATGGACCATGTGGGGCATGAAGGGGAATCAGCTGCTAAACCGAAGGTGACCTGTGACCTCTGGCAGGCCTGCAATTTCACTGTTTCGTTTGTGTCTGCCTCCGGCCACATGACTTCCTGCTCACTTTTCAGGAGAGAGCCGGGGTAGGCACTTTAGAAGTCAGATTTATTCCTTTTGTAAGTGTCTTACACACATGCATCGATGGGCACCATGAGTGTGCCTCCCGCCCCTGGAGATCAGCCGAGGGCACTGGGTCCTCTCTGGGACTAGTTAGAAATGGTTGGGAGACACCACGAGGGTGTTGGAAATCAAACCACGGTCCTCTGTGAGAACAACGGCTCTTAGCTACTGAGGCATCTCCACAGAGCCTGTTAGCCCAGCGTGTGTAAGCACAGAGCCTGTTAGCCTAGTGTGTGTAAGGCCTTGGGGTCCATACCCAACACTACAAAACAGAACAAAAAAGTGGATGCTCTCAAGGGAGGGAATCTGACAACTCTGGATCACAGTCACAAGATGAGTATCTCTGAAGACTCTGCAGTGCCCTTGAGTGGAGAGGGAAGTGGAGGCTTGCTCCTTCTTTCCCAGGTCTCCAGGCAGGAGTACAGGGCCCCACCCCAGCGAACACAGGCAGCAACAGGGCCAAGGTGCAGAAAGAAAACTTATTTATAGCAAAATTAAAAAGCAGCATCTTTTCTTCATAAAAGAAGCATAGTGACATAAGTCAAAACTTACAAAAAATAATTTCCATCTAAATCTATAAAATATAAGAGAAGGGTTGCAGTGAATAAGAATGAACATTTTTGATTTATTCAAAGTTTTGATCTAAAATTTCAATGAAATCTACCACCTTTATTACAAGGGAGCTGACAGTCGGTTGGTGACGGAAAGAAACAGGGTGAAGAGGATGGCACTGGACACGGGAGAGTGACCCAAACTGACAGAGGGGCAGAGGTTTGGTCCAATAGGTCACTGCCTGGCTGAAGGCGCATTTTGTTGAGACAGGGCGTTGGAGCTGTTTAAACAGTATAAACCTGCGTAAGAAAACTAAGAATGGCCAACGAGACAGGGACTCTATTTCAAATCAATGATGTCTTCCTCCGAGGAGGCCATGAGCTGGAAGGGGCAGCTGCCTGAGCCTGAGCTGCCCTCTTTGTCCACCACAGGGTCCTGGTCAGAGCCTGCCGAGTGGTTACGGCCCTCGGCATTGGCTTCAGAAGCAGAAGGGCTTTCCAAAACTCCTGATGGGATCCTGCAAGAGAGAAGCCGCTGTCAGGGGCTCTGTGGGCAGGCCATGGAACTGGCGCTGTTCGCTGCCTTCTGCTCTCTCGGGCTCAGGGTGTCTACCGTGGGATCGGAAGGGGAAGGTGAAGAGTCCGGGGTTTCACTTCTCAGACAGGCTGAGATTCCACAAATGCCCCAGGGTCCTGGCAGTCTCGGCCCTGCTCTGCCCACTTGACTTCTTGCCACCTCCCTGGCACTTGGCCAAGTGTCCTCCTGTGTCTGTGACCATGCTGCCTGCTCAGAGCCATGGCTCAGGAGTCCCTGCTGTCTTAGCCACGGTTCCCCTTTTCTTTTTGATTTTCAAGACAGGTTTCTCTGTGCAGTCCTGGCTGTCCTAGAACTCACTCTGCAGACCAGGTTGGTCTCTAACTCACAGAGATCCCCCTGCCTCTGCCTCCCGAGTGCTGGGATTCAAGTCCTGTTGCGTGACTGTTTCCCCATTCTTATCATTCACCCCAAGCCAGCCCTGTGCTAGACTCTTCCTTGACTTCTTGTCAAAGTGGGTCTTCTGTCTGCCATTTTATCATTTATTATTGTTGTTGTCGTGTTTTTAAAAGGATTTATTTTGCCAGTCGGTGGTGGCACACACCTTTAACCCAGCACTCAGGAGGCAGAGGCAGGCAGATCTCTGTGAATTTGAGGTCAGCTTGGCCTACAAAGTGAGTTCCAGGACAGCCAGGGTGGTTACACCAAGAAATTCTGACTCAAAAACAAACAAAAACTAAAAAAAAAAAAGCAGACTTAGTTTTGTTTCATGAACATGGATGCTTTGAACTCAGGAGATCTGCCTTTATTCTCCTGAGTGGTGGGGATTATAACCCACTAGTTCTCTTTTAATTATTTTGGTTTTTTGGTTTTTTTTTTTTTTTTTTTTTTTTGCTTTTTGAGACAGTTTCTCTGCATTGTTTTGGAGGCTGTCCTGGAACTTGCTCTGTAGACCAGGCTGGCCTCGAACTCACAGAGATCCGCCTGACTCTGCCTCTCAAGTGCTGGGATTAAAGGCGTGCGCCACCAACGCCCGGCTTCTCTTTTAATTATTTAGCATTTATTTTATATA